ACTGATATACTGATAAATCGATCGACCTTAAAAAGCTAAAATAATTTCTACCTACACCTGTGCACTAATAATTCATGAAAAATATTGACATCGCGAGAGGATGCAATCGTTTCTTTTTAATAACAGTTGACTTTCGGAAAAATATTTTACACTTCTGACCGAATACTTAGCATAAATTACAAATATATTAAAAAACAATTATTATAAACGAAAAACAAAAATGAATTAAAACTTCAACTATCAAATAATTTAGAGGCACCAAAATCAGATCCTCCATTTCTTCAGTATCGCGTACATTCTTAAGAAAAAAAACGAAACATTACGTCGCATTTTACTTTGTGGAACAAAGGACTTTCATACAGATTAATCGCGCAACTGATAAGAATGACAAAAAACTGAATTTAAAACAGTTGCTTTTGTAGATAACCTTAGGTGTAAGTCTCGAATTCGTTGGAAACACTTTGTAAAGTAAAACAGTTAAGTGTAAGTTAAGTAATAGAAATACTTATATATAAATAAATAGGGCAAATTAGATGATCTTGTGAACATCTGCACGAATCTGATAAAGCAAATCTAATGAGATGAATTCGAAAATGATAATATTATAATCTACCACATGCGCCTACAATAATATGAAAACAAATCTTAAAGTATTACGTTATTAGAGAATTCATTCATTTTATAATGAGTGCTGTATAAATGTTGAAAAGATCTCATACTACTGAGTTGTTTTGAGAATTATCGTTTTAGTCGTACATTCGATTTGACATTGTTAATTATTGACTTTCAAGCGCATGCATTTCTCTTATATCACTGAAAAACGAAGAAAATATGTAGATTCTCCTAGCTTGTATTCGTAAAAAAACGAGTTTATGTATATTTTCTTACCCTTGTGAAAAATGCGAAGCCTGAATTTTGTAGATGTGTGTAGATACTTGTAACTTGAATCTTCCTGAAAACTATTTGTAAAGAAGTATAAGAAGTATAAAAAGCCCTACCAATGTCATTCGAAAAAATATAATTTTCGTAAACATACTTTTTAATAAAGTAATATTTCTGCTTTTTAAAGCATCCATAAAAATAATACGCAATGTTCAACCATTAGAATATAATTTACGAAGTAAAAAGATTGCAAACATTAAAATAGTGAACATTGAAACGAAATTAAATCTTTTTACAGTTATACCACTGATAAAAAAATTTTTACCGAGAGTGAGAGAAATTGTGTATTGTTTAAGTTCTTGTAATTCAAATATGAGTAAGTGAAAAATATTTACTAAACGTGAAACTTACATATACGAGGCCTTGTAGGTCAACTGTTCAAGCAGTGTAATTAAGTGAAATCGATCAATTTGTAGCTCGAAAAAGAAATATAAAAATGTACTCAGAAAAAATTATGTACACAGATTTTACAAACATTTGCCACTTCGATATATTAGTTTTTTCGAGTACATTTTCTACTTTTTTACGAGATGGAAATTCAGCTATATCTCTTAATCGTGTCGTGCGGCAACGAGCTTGGTAGTAGACCTGACATGTCTTATGATATTTATTGATATTAATATACGTTTTCAAAAGGATGAAAATATAATATAATTTAATTGGCTCATCTTAAAATGAAATTTCCAATTCGATTGATCTAATTGAAGAAAGCAAAATATATTCCTTAATTATTTAAAAAATCGTTTGTTAAATTATTATAGACAATTGTGATGAAGATAAATTTCAATTTATGGTGAAATATAAAAAGCTAGATAATCATTTTAAAACTGTGTGAGAATGAGAGATTAAGGAAAGTCAAAGAGAATTTGAAATGTATGCATAGATGAATTATGTTTACTATTGCTGAATTGCTAGTTTGATTCAACATCAAACTAGTTAAATTTACTCAATTTACTCAGCTTAATAGATGAATATAAAATTTTATCACATGTATATTAAAATACTATTTAGGATTGGGTTTCATTTTGATTGATTGCATTCAAATTGTTTTTTTATGCAGAGTGTACAGGCTTAGTTGTAAAACAAACATCTTAAATAAGTTACCTGAACTTCAGTACATAGTACAACGCAAACACATAAAGTTTGATAAAGCTGTTAAATGTGTGTTTTACAATTAATAAAACTATGTACAATATAGAGAGCCAAAAACTAAATTGCCAAAGTAAATGAAAAAATACTGCGTTTGAAAAATTTGCAATAGTTACGTGTCATCATTTGAGTGTGTTATTTAAAGTTTTAAAATTTGATTTTTGAACGGTTGATGAAAATCAAAAATATTATTCATTAATTGATAAATTATAATAGATTAGAATGTTTCATATATTTTTAACGGTTCACAGTTAACTTACTAAGCTTAAAAATATTTTTACTTTTGAAAATCACATATTGCAGGAACCGATTAAAGTTTTAACATGCAACTCCTCACTCGTTCGGCAAAGTAGCTATCTTTATTATCTGTAAACCAATCAAAATTATCATCGATCGATTTTCGAATTATAGCTAACATTAAATGATTGCCATTATTGAATTCAAGAATTATACATATATTGTTTCAATAAGATCGGTTTCTTAATTAACGCAAGTTCATTGACTAATTTTGGTAAATTTGTTTTCGTTAAATATGTCGTTGAAAGATGGCGCTTGTATGTACTTGTTTGAAAACGTCCTGAAGTATAGATTGCTTTCATACAATGACTAATTACATCTGAAACATTTTATTGGTTTAGTTTGACACTTTATTATACTCTGAAAAAAGATGCCCTGGTAGAAATGCTAAAAAAGGGTGGATCTACCTATGTCACATGTGTTAAATTTTTTGAAAACAGTGCTTTAACTTATACAATTCTTTCTAATTTGCCATTTGCAGATTTGCATATAAAGAAACTCGCCATCTAGTGATGAATGGTTAAAGTTGGATTAACATATTAAAAATAATTGTAAACCGGATTCAATTTTTTTAAATAATTCAATGGTCATTATTCAGGTCATTTAAAATGAATATGATATTTCTTATTGAATTGTATCAGAAGAATTGCCAAAAAAGAAGCAATTGATGATCATGAATTTTAAAACATTTCGAATGGTAATTTTTGGTCGTCAGGCCTGTATTAGAGTTCAGCATTTCTATTGGGGTTATCGTAAAATTTTTAAGTTAAATGCATCGTAGCTCAAGCCGTTAACAATTTTATATTATCTTATAGTACATTAGGGACCTCCAATTAAATTTTAAAAAGCAATTTAAATTAGTTGAAATTAATATTATTATGCATGAGACATATGTTGATATCGTGAAAGTAAAATGAACATTTAAAATCGTAAAACTTGATAAACATGTTACTGACTAATAAGTCATAAAAGAGTTTAATTAAAAATTAGATAAAGAGATTATACTAAATTTAATAATAGTCTACAAAATTTAAAAAAAACCGTCGATAAAAACAGTTTAATAAATGAATAAATAAATTGAATAAAAAGCATAACCGATAATCGATAACTTTCGATGAAGGCCAGTCTACATTATGAAAATGCGTTGTGGGAATTTATTATAAACATAGCTCGATGAAAATGAAATATATAATCGAGCGAAAATTCCATCAGTTCGGATTTTGATTTATCTATTTTCCATTGCGATCATTATCTTATTGTATAATCGAGATTTAAAGAAAAAAAAAACGGAATAAAAAAAATCTTTTGAGTAGTTACTCAAAAAGTCGAATGAGTTTACGACTCGCTCCGTAAATGCGTATGCTCATTGCGTATATTGTGTGAAAGAATAGTATACATGTACGCGTGCGAATAAGGTGAGAACGAAGAACGCAACGTTATAAGCAAGTGTCAAAATAATTGTACAGTAAACGCAAATACAGAGATATTATAAAAAAAAAATTATATAAAAACTAGAAAGTTTTAATAAATCAATTAAATGCCAATCAATCGAGATTTTGTATTCATTGCATCAGCTATACTATACAATTTTATTTTTCTTAGATGAAAGGGCAAAAGAAGACCCATTTCGAATCGCCGATATTCAAGAAACTGTCATTCCAAAGCAATCCATTGATCTTTATACATAAGCGAACCGTCGAATTGAATTTCACGACTCGCTCGCGCGCGCTTGTACACAGAGGGCCAAAGAAAGTACTTCGTCGAAGCAGCGCGGCAACAAAGCAGTAGTCGCGCAGTACAGCAAAGCTATACGAAAGAAGAAAAAAAGAAGGAAAAAGAAGAAAAACCCTCAAAGAAAGGTGCTGCACGATAATGAGGTGTACGAGTCTCGAAAAGGAAAAAGAGAAGAAGAGCGAAAAAGGCATTGCAGAGTTACATCCCTCCGATGCGCAGCACACGTGTGGCCTATATCTTTCCAAGCTGTTTACAAATAGTACAGTTTCGGGCGGGATTCGATTTCGCGGCTATATACGCCGTGTTGCAACGAAACGACACTCGAATTATTTCCATTATATCGTACACCTGTGCTACGTGTGTGGTACACGATGCACACGCTTCAGTGCAGCAACAGCGGGTCGCCTCTCGGCATTATTATATACACACACAGGCTGCTGCTGCTGCTGCTCGCGTGCGCGCGTGGCAGAAACGAGCTTTGCGAGCAACAGCAGCAGCAGATAATTCGGAGAAAAGCTCCGAGAGCTTGCGCGGACCGTTGCCCACACGTACGTACGTACGTACAACACAATCGAGCTCTCGTGGGGATGCTGTGTGTATATGTGTGCGCCGCCACCGCTGGAGCACTCTGCCGAGATCGATCTGCGCGTGCGTGGCTGCGCGCGCCCGGGATACGACTCGCGAGAGAGTCGCGCGCGCCGTGACCGGGATAGGAAGAGAGGTGCACATGCAAACATGCGCACACATACAGACGCGAGTACACGAATACTGGAGAGAGAAAGAGAGAGGATAGACATCGCAGAAAAGTCAGAGCACAGCAGCAGCAGCAGCAGCAGGCCCGAGCGAGCGAGCGAGAGATACAGCGTATACACAACGCACTACTCGGCGCAACCAACAGGTGAGAGCAGCAGCGAGAGACACTCCCTGGATTTTCGATGCTGCTGCTGTTGCTCCGTCGTATAATGCACGCGAGCACTCCGGGGCGATAATCAGTTGTACGCCGTTGTGTGCAGACGTCGTCGTTATCGCGCTGGTCGCAAGCACGAGACAGAGAGAGACAGAGAGTAGTAGGAAAGTCGAGGCCTCTCGGCGGACGAGCTTGCACAAGGGAGCGAGCTTTTTTTCTCTCAGTCAATTCGCGCGCGATGCCAGGCGCGGAACTTTCGAGTTGTCCTCGGCTATCCTCGAGATCATCGAGTGTACTGCGATCATTTTACTGCTACGACTACCACTTGTGACAATGCGAACTGCGAGAGTGAGATGGTAGCCGTGTAAGTGGCAAAATCCGAGTAACAACAACAACAACGATAACAAAAACTCGGTGAAGGTGAGCCCGAAGCAACGCAAGCTCCGATGAAAATAGTGAAGTGTGCACCATGAAGAAACGCAAAGTCGACTACCGTTTTAACGCGCGTCGCAGGGATCTTGAAAATTGAAAACAAAGAGTAGCTCTTGACGACGCGACGATGAAGTGCCACCCGTGAGGAGCGAGGAATCGTCAGAATTCGTGAGTCGAGTGTAAATATAATCGCATTGGGCAAAGAAGAAGAACAGTACGTTTGATCGCTAGAATCAGCTCTTTCCAATCGTCCTTCGTCGGTTTTGTAAACACATTCGATTTCGCCGATCTCCCATAAGCCATAATCAAAACGTAGCTGATCGAGAGTCGTCGGCTGCGAAAGCTCCGACAGAAAAAAAGTACAACAATGAAGAGATTCACCAAAGTGCAAGATAATACACGCAGATAATACGATGGTCTCGCGGTCGAGAATAGCAGCAGCGGCAGCAACACGTGCTTGAAAGGTAAGCGCCACGACGACGATTGTTAAAATAAATATTTGAATAGCGTATATACGAGTCTTCGTGAAACACAATTCTCTGTTTATTATACACTTTAAACGCGCGCTCACGGTAATGCACTTAATATGTATTTTTGAAATGTATCGACGAGCTGCACCGCGCGGTACGGATATTTTGCACGAGCGCGCGAGCGTAATATTTAATCGCGGCTCACTGAATAATCAAAAAGCTCGCTTAATTCGGCCTTTTTAATCCTCCCTCTGCGGACGCAACGAAATCGAAATTATATTTTATCGGCGTGGGTATACGCGTATCTTTGAAAATCTCCCTTTTACGCTTTCCCCCCGTACGTATATATAATTATTCGAATTAACTCGTTTCAATCGGCCACTGCTGTCGTCGCTTTTCGTTAATGGTCTCTCTTACTCTCTTATTATACATGTCCGTACCGGACGTTTATGAAAATAAATTGCTCGACGACGTGACTTTTCTATTAATACACTTTATACAGCCGTTACAGCGGCGGTCGAAGGGCGATTAATTAAAGAAAGAAGAAAAAACCAGAGAGAAAGTCGAGAGAGAGAGTCGTTTACCAAGGCGCCACCACGATATCGCCCGTATCGAAATACCTTTACCCTTGTACCTTGCTCGCTCGCTCGTTCGCTCAAGGGTCAGCTGGATAGTTTCTGCAAGCTCTCGCAGTACGCGGTTTATATACACACACACACGGATGAAATACATTCAAGACCGTCTGCGTATACATGCATATTCGAAATGGGAGTTCATTAAAAGCTTCATATCGTACATTCGCTCGACCATCGGGGAATAGCTATCCGCCAGTTAACGTTCCCGATTATATATATCGAATACTGCCTGCAAATTGCGATTGCTCGGTGCGCAACGCGTACATCGATACAGTCGAGAGATTTTGAATTTTCGCAATTTCAATCGGGGGAGAAAATTGCGCGTAAAAGAGAGAGGGCGTGAAAAAAATCATGGCAAACTGAAAACGAACATTCGAGGGTATATAACAGTGAGTGAGATTTAATCTCAATAATAGCATCAAGAGGCTCTCTTCCGTAAATATAGTATACGCTTTCAGAAGCTCTGCGGGCCGTGAATGAGCGAGTCCGAGTACCAATAGTAGTACCAGTATGATCGCACAAAGAGCGAAACCAGAGAATTTTGCAGTCGAGATACATACATACGTATATACAAACAAACAAGTGAGAGAGAGAAAGAGAGAGAGAACCGAAGACTTCTGTCATCCATAGAAATGCACTACGGCTCACTAACGTACACGACGCGCCAACGATTCTAGGCATTGTATACCCCCCCGGTTGGACAAAAGTTATCCAGCTGTGCTCCACTATATACTACTGCCTGCCTGTCTGTGTGCCGTAGGTGTACTAGTGCTTTATTGTCACAATGCGCGCATACCCCAAGTTCTCGCGCTCTCTAGATGTATACATACACACAGCCAAGGTGGTTTTTCATCTCGGTTATCGAGTCGTCGATCTCTCTGCTGCCGACTGCTGTACGCTTATCGCGACATGCATACTGCGCGCGTGTACGCGGATACGTCATCGATGCGAATTGCTGCTAGCTGCGACGATCGCGAACGGAGCAAAGACGTTTTCTCGGCGTATAAACGCGTGTCTTGATACTTTTGTCCCGATGAGCGTGAAATTCAGCCGAGGACCTCGAAAAAAAAAAGATGGAGTTTGCACAGCGCGACGTATACCGATACGACGTCGAGTCCCGGGTGTCGACGGGTTCCGCGTTGGGGAAACAATTGAATTCATCGGCAATTAAAATCAATTCGTTATCAATATGCTGAGAATAGACATTTTCAAAATTTTATATTATACAATTATTTTCACTTTTGTACTTGCAGATTTAAAGATAAGTACCACTCGCCATCTAGTGGTAGAGACTTGAGGTAGCATTATCGTATTTAAAGTAATTAAAGCGGTTCAATTGTCGTTTTTGGGTCATTTAAACCTGATATTTATAACACAATTGTTACAAAAAAAATCGCTAAAAAAAGCCTATTAATGACAATCTAGCTTATAACATTTTTAATGGTCATTCTTTCTGGTCACTAGACCATTATCAATGATGAGCATTTCTACTACGGTACTTTACTCGCTTAAAAATCGGAAAAAAATTTTTTTAAAAAAGGAATCTCGTTCTCAGGCGAAACAACGTAAAATACGTTGCCGAGCTTTCTCCGTCGGAGCAAGCTGAAAAGACGCTTGCCTCCTGTGCATGCTGCAGTATTCTTTTCCCAAAGACCCCGTGGCCTCTTAAAATTCTAGCTCTGACTGCACCCGACTGGTTTTGATGACTTCTTCATCTTCTTCTTTTTCCTCCTCCGGTAACCACGACCTGCACACGTAACTCTTCACGTTTCACGAGTCTCCCTGTATGTGTGTGTATATTATATATACATTATATACCGTGAAAATGCCAGAAGAGCTTTTGAGCTTTCCTCCGTTTCCTTTTGCGCGACTGCAAAGCAGCGCGGCACGAGATGCTCCATCGTCTGTATACGGTACACACAACGTGTACGTGCCATATACATACACCCTTGAAGTGATGCGCGCACGAAACGCGAAGATAATACCCACGCACGGGGCTTACGGCGCTTGTACGCGCGGCGCTCGCGGGCGAGATGCATATTATACTCGGCGCGCAACTGCGAAGTTAATAACGAAGTGATCCTTTGCTTCGGTGCGGTACGCTTTATAATTGCATAATTCTTTGGCGCGCGAGCGCGTGTGACGAAAATAAAGTTGTGACGAAAATAAGTTTGTGAAGCGACGGAGGATTTTTTATGCCCTTTGTGTTTTTCTACAGCTAGAGCATTTTTTCGTTATTGTCTTTTTTGTTTCGTTATTAAAAAAATTTTAAAGTAACATCCATAAATATCCATGAAAAATGCACGCGAAACAAAAAAAAAACGAAACACTATCGAGAGAACACAACCCGAGCTTTTTATGACTTTTAATGGAATACTGCCGAAACTAACGGCGCGAAAAATTTAATCCTTGTATCAGCCGGAGCAATAGTGCGCTGGCACTCGTCCACGGTGAGAGAGCGCCTATGTACACACACGGAGAGATCCGTGCAAACAATCCGGCGGCGGCGTCGGCAGCTCGACGTGAAAAAGTAGTCGTGTGCTGTCGTTGACACCTAAAATTAAGAGAGTTTCAGCTATTACACCTAAACTTCCTCCACCACGTTTTTTTTGTAGCCCGCTACACACACGCATTACGTGCATAAAATTTGTATATTCATTACAACTTAATGTCTTTTGTTTTTTATCGTTCGCAGAATCCAGGACCGCAGAATGCCCCAGGGCAGTCTCCAATGGCAGGGTACGCAAAGACGGACTTACGCGCCCGGAGCGAATTGGAATGTTCAGGTATACTATGTGTACTATACGTCGACGAACGCACCAGCGAACATATGAACCGAGAGTTTTTCGGAAAATTTTATTTGTACAAGGGAAGGTAATCTAGAACATTGCCAACGTTTCGCTGGATTTTCAAACATGAAGCACCGAAGCGCTTTTGACATTTTTTTTTCACAAAAGGCAGAGCTGGTTTATTGCAAACTGCCCGCGTATACGCGCGATTTTGACGTCATATATCGTATGCACTTGCACACATTTTAACGAACGTTTCTAAATAGAGCTCGCATTGTTGCAGAGAGAGGCTAAAGATAGATCTCATTAAGCTTTACGTATGTGTGTATATGTACAGGCTAGGTCAGTTTTCAAAAATATATGATTTCTAACGAGCGGCGCAAATTACGTCCGTTAGTAGTGCTGCCGCTGCATCTATATATAATACGCGCGTAGCATACATTACACGGGTACTTGCACGCGCCGCGTATTAGCGAGCTTAAAAGCTCGACTTTTCAAATCAATGCGAATTTCGCGCGCTCACAGCTCGGATTAATCAGCTGCCCGGCGAGTCATTAATAATTTATTTCAAGCATGATTTTCCTCGCATACGCTCACGCACGAGAAAGATACGAACGAAACTCGAAGGTAATAAATGCACCAGCGCAGCTATAATACAACGCAGCGGTTGAAATTTCGGCCGGTTATGCATAAACAAGATGCGTTCGGAAGAAAGAGAGAGAAAACGACGTTCGATGTGCTGCTGGCTCGTCGGGGCGACGGTAGCGGCCGAGCGAAGCATCGCGAGAAAAATATCGTTCCCGTAAGAGAAAATTCATCTCAGCGAGCAGATTTTCATTTCAGCTCCACGCGCGTGCACGCTAAAGTACCAATTAACTCGTGTGCGTGTGTGCGTGTACGCCATGTAAACGAGGGCGCACCAATAAAAAGTATAACGAAGCTCGCATATCGCTTGAAAATCTTTTTTTCTCGTTTTTTTTTTGTTGCCCATTTTGTTTTTCGCGAGCTTCTATTTCCATGCGACGATCGCGGGTACATTATGCACGTGCACGCACGAGCTTGCACGATACTACTTTTGCTTCATTCTGTAGCAGCGATACGACGAGCGCGCTCGTATACGATCGTATTTATAAAAAAAAAAAAAACATAAAGCTACATAATTTAACGAACACTTCAATCAGAAATGGAACTAATCGAAAAAATCATGAAAATATCAGACGAAGCTTTGTATATGTACCGTACGGAATTTGTTTTGCCACTTGCGAGTTTAACCATGCTCCATCTGTTGATCGAATCAGCAACAAGCTCATAATCATATATGATATCTCTTTGACTACTGTCTGGTTACAATACAAAACGAATCCCGTAAAAACAGTCGTTGCAAGTGAAACTTCTACAAAATTCTACAAAAAACTGCTAATAATTTTCTGAAATAAATTCATATTATAAAATATACTTTCAGTACACATTAAACTCGTGACACTCTAAAACGCCGGCCAATAACGAAGTTTGTTGTTTATCGCTCTCACTCATTTTTTACGGGTTTACTACCCCGTACTCATCGTGACTAAAAAAATATCATTTCAAAAAAAAAAGCGAGAAAGAGTCCCTTGCGCGAATACGTCAATATTTTCTGGCGGGTTGATGTAATACACGCGCGCAATACGTTATGTCGATGTCGTGGCAATTGTTTCATCGAATAATCGTGTCAATTTATTCGACGCTGGCGTTTCTCGACGCTTGTCGTTGTACACACATACACACATATACATCTCTCGGACTTCCAGAGATTTTACAACTCCTTGAGTTGTTCAAGGTTGTTGATTGGATAGAGAGACAGTTCACTTTAATAAAGTTAACTTTGTTCATCCAATAAACAATCTTCTTCTTTACTTACCTTTCTTATCTCTCCTATTTCCTATTACGGCCACTACGTGGCCCCGACCGCATTAATCGCTCTCCACAAGCGACGTGTCGCGTCCAGAGCTTAAGAGGAAGGCTCGTTTGACGGCTTTCTGAAGAGACGACGATAATCTCGGTTTGCACCCGTACAATTATTTTGCTCTGAAGAACAGTTTGGTTCTGAAACAATTGAGCAAAAAAAATTATAGTTCTCTGAAGCATATCGCACCAACGGAAATAAAGCTGTAAAAAAAAAGTAAAAATTAAAGTTAAAAATATCATCTTATACATAACTTATTGGAAATTTTTTCAAGTAAAACTTCTGTAGGCGCATTGGTCGTATCAAAACTCTACTATCCTCGCTTTACCACGGCATATATAACGTCGGCGAGTGAGTTCGACGATAATGTCTTCGTAAATTTTTGTATGATGTTGCATGGATCGCCTGGCATCCGCGCGAACTATTTGTTTTTGGCAGTCAGATGACGGGCGATTCTATAGTTACGGGCCACACATGTGTGCACGAGGATATAATTCGGTTATAACTGCCCGTGATATATACGGTCGAATGGGCCGCGAAACTCCTGTGCACATATATTCAGGACGTACATCTACTCATTCACGTGTACATAACTCAAAACCGCGGACAAATACATAGTTTTTCACTCGGTTATTTGTTCGCGGTGCATTAGAATAATATTGATCCTTTGCCGAACCATCGATCTCTGCAGCCACTAATGCTCAAACCCCCGCGTAATTGCGCAAAATTTCTCTCTCTCCTGCCCCACAGGTAGTCAGAGGTAAAGTAACGACGCGCTGCCTGTGGCACGCCTGCAAGGCCCTCGGCATCGGATTACTGCTCATGATTTTGGGCGCCTGCATGGCCACGATAGGTATGTATATATATTCACCGATCGTTGTTATTATCTTTGTTATTGTGGTTGTTGCTGCTGTTTTTGTGCCTGGCATTAAACATTCATTTATTACCGCGCTCTTGCCTTTAACGCATTTGCATTTTCAATTTTCGACGATACGTTAATACGATTCGAACGAATACCACGTTCTGACGCTGTTTGTATATTTTATTTGATCCAAAATTTTCTTCAAACGTTCAAGATATTTGATGCTTGAAATAACTACCATTTCCCGATAGAAATACTCAATATTCACTAAGAAAACTAATGAAAAAGAAATTACCATTTTAAATGTATAAAATTACCTTACCATTGATTTGCAATTATTTTTGGCAATTTTTATATAACAATTAAATTGAAATTATTGGGCTATTTTGAATGACCTGAACATGACAATTTTATTGGTTTAAAAAATTGTGACTAGTTTTAAACCATTTTAAATACGATGATTCCACTTTGAAAATTCACCACTAGATGGCCAGTGCCTATAGTTGTAAATCTGCAAGTGGCAACGTCAAAATTCATGTATAAGTCAAAGCGAGGTTTGAAAAAAATTAGTAATTTTACCTCTATTTTCACTATTCCACAACAGGTGTTGCAGGCCCAAATATGAAGTTGAAAGTAACCATTTACTCTTCAAGAACACAATGAAAAATGAAAATCCTGAACACCACAGCCCCCTAGGCCCAACCCTCATGGATCTACAGGGGCTCAAAGTTGGACTTTCATGGTCTTTTACACTATTTTTTCAATTTTAAGGGATTTTGAGCTTATGAATGTCTCATCTGAGTACAGATTTGAATTCTACATCAAATTTAACATGAAAAAACATGGTTTAAAAATTTTTTCATATGCACCCTAGAAAAGCAGAGTAACAAGCAGAATATCCTCAAGACATGAAAATCCAATTTTGAGCCCCTGTAGATCCATGAGGGTTAGACCTAGGGGGGTGTGATCTTCAGGATTTTCATTTTTCATTGTGTACTTGAAGAGTAAATGGTTAGTTTCAACTTCATTTTTTGGGCCTACAACACCTGTTGTGGAATAGTCCATATCTGTTCCTACCGTAAGTGTTTTATAACCAAAAAATGCTTATAAAATGCAAACATATTAATGCAAACCTTTGTAAATGGACATAAAGTTGAAAAAAATCTTACACTTCTAATTATAATACACGTCCAATTCTAATATCCCTTTTATGCTCAAGAAAATTTTTTTACTAGTCATACAGTTTTGATCATTTTTACCAGGAAAGATACAATATCAATAAAGTTAATTCTAATTTTTCTTTGAATAAAAATTTTGATGCGTTGTGAAAATTCGTTTCTGAGTCTGTTATCTGAAAAAAGGTCAATAGTTCAAGATTTAACAAATAGTTTGGTTTTATACAAATAGTTCGTCAGAGAACACTGTACAATATCTACCACAAAGTGAATATTGTTGAAAAATAAATGATTGGATCAGAGTGCAAGGTTACACAAAGGAAAAAATTTTTTTTTAATACTTTTGTACCAACTTTTACTTTAAATCATAAAAAACCCATCGTAAATTCTTTGTGACATGAAATTGCTATTAAATTCAATTAAATAATATTATTAGTAATAAATTTAAAAATGCTATAAAGCGTATCTTTCATTGAATAATCTGATAGTATAAATTATATAATAAACGAGCTATACTGAAATATTTTTGAGTAATCTCCATCTGCATGAAAGATTTTCTAATTCTTCAATAGTACAGTTAAAAAAAAAACTTTAGAAAACTCCAGAAAAGTGAAAAAGTTTCCTACAATTTGACTCGGTTAACTTTTTTTAAAGCTTCTACCGATCAGTTACGGCATAAAATACAAAGAACATGATTTTCATTTAATTCCAGGCTATTACGCGGATCAATTGTCAGTGGCGCAAGAAGTACGTGGCAACTTGACAGTGAGAGTGAAAAACGAGTCGAAAGGCTTTCACCTGAACAATTTGAGCTACGCTGGACCAATTGTCATGGGCGTCGGAGGTGAGGCTATAAAAAATATGACACTACTCGTCGAGCGACGTTTAATTTCTCATATTTCAAATAGAAAATTTCAAAAAATACTGATAACCATACATCAGTGGTTTGTCTCGCGGTCTATAAGTAAACTTCAATCCGAAGAGTTGTGAAAATATCAGAAACCATTGATCAGGATTAGCTTATCACTTTTCGAGAATACCCGCAGTCGTAGACTGTCAAGTTTGTTACTTGTGAACGAGTAATTGATTAATGGCATCTTTTCGCACTGCGCAAAATGGAAAATTGATTAATTATATCTTTTACATGTAAAAAGATATATAACGAGTAACGACTCTCGTTACATCTGTTTCTGTAATCTAAAATGACTCGTCGGTCACTATAGGCTTCAAAGGTAGACGACGTATCCGAGTACATTGACAAATTGTCAAATATAGTTTCCACGTGGTGAACGAATAACGAAAATGACAGATCATCTCGACGTTAATAAATGAACTGGACCGTAGATCCGTAGCCGCCTCCCCCACCTACTTGTCGGAAAACGCGAAAGAGCTTCCGATATCAGGCGAGCGTTTAGACATGAAAAAAAAGACCCGTCCGCTCGAAACAAGAGAGAGGGAGGGGGAGGAGGGGATAAACAACCCCCGCAGATGGAGAACAATAGCGCGCACCAAAGAGTCTATTGTGAGAAAATCGCGTAGCGAAAAGCGTGTAGCAGCAGCAGCACACAGAACAGCCGAAAGTAGGCCGGGACGCCTTCAAGTATCGATTTACGCGCGGCGGCGGCGACGACGGCCCGTCATACACGTGCGTGTACTATTTAAACGGGCGCGACGGCGTATCATCATCGTCGTAGTTATAACCGCGCGCGCGACGAATCTCGGGATATAACACGATGAGGATGATGGCGATGACGATGATAATGAGATAGAACACAGGTGCGAGCGCGAATTTATCTTCTCTATATAATGAAAATCAACAACGCACTCGGCCGCGAGAGTGTTTATATTATACGCGCACGAGGACGCGGAAATCTCGAAGAGTGCGGGATACGTGTATATAATAGGAGAGTCGCTATAATCGAGCTGGAAAAAAATGCCCGTAGGAGGTACAAAAAAAGAAATGCCCCCAGAGAGATTTGAACTCTCGACCCCTGGTTTACAAGACCAGTGCTCTAACCCCTGAGCTATGGAGGCTCATGATGGGTGACTTCTAATCAAACAACGAGTTCTGAGGATCACTTCGTCAGATCTAAACGTCCGATTAGATTGTTTAAATAAATTGTCGAAAGCAATAATTTCGAGAGACACGATAATTGTTGATAATTTTCAGTTTTTCACTTGTTTCGAAAGGGTCGTTGAACGTTTATCAATTGTTTACGTCAATTGTTTATGGTTAATTATTAAAATACATCCTGGACACTGGAAATATAATAATACGAGATGCTGCGTATCTACGATTACGCACGATTAAAAGTAGAAATTTGTTTTACCGACATCGAACCTTACTTACGAACATCACCACGTGGCATTAAAAATCATACATTTTCTGTGCATAATCTCGAGATTATTATAAAAAATCAAATTTTTAGTTTGTAAACAGTAAATTTATAAACAAGAAAGCATAAAAATTGAACTAAAAAAACAATTTTCGGTGTTCTACTATGTTCGTTATAGATACGTGAATTCTTCTATTTGTTTTTAGCCGCATTATCTCCGCACTTATCAGCTATATACTTTTTTAGATCGATTCGTATCTCCTTACTCTTGCAATACATCGTGAAGTATAAATAAAAAAATGGATACATAATAATCAATTTATTTTTATTTCTTTTTTATTGTTACCCGCGATTATGAAATAAAAACTCTCTCTCTGCCGCCCGTCTGTGTGTAAATTCAATCTTTGATGTATTAGTACAGTAGTCAAGTGCATCTCATTAAAAAAAAACGCGAAAGCCTCGAATTACACACGAGCATTAATAAAATGAAAAAAAAAAACTGAGCGCGCGCGTCGAGAGCAGCCTAGCACACGATTTCAATTTATAAGTATATATAGCACTGTGTGTGTGTGTGTGTTTCGAGCGCTTGCAATAAATAACGCACACACAAGGCAGATCGCTTTCGTATAATACACTCTCGTTACACTCTGAGAGAGAGAGAGAAAAAGTAGAACAAGAGGAAATAAAATTTTTACTTCGCAGTGAATCTTTTATAACGCAGCTGCTGCAGCTGTTGCTAAAGATACATCTTCGTTTCGAAAATCGAATTTGCAGCCGAGCGAAAACTCGATACCCAGCTCGACAAAAAGTACACTTTAGGAATTATGCACTTATCGTTGCTCCGCAGGCTTCATCGTGGTGGCCGCGTGCGTGATGACTTTCGAGGCGCGCGACAGCGCAGCCAAGGTCGTGCCGGCGCGCTTTCGCTTCAATCATCAGCAGTCGACGACGCAGCACCACCAGCTCACTCGGGGCGCCAAGAGCCAGCGCAGCCGCAAGTCCACCTCGAGCCAGACCAGCAAGTGGGACCAGCAGCTGGGCCTGTTCCGGGTGAATCGCAGCCCCAGTCCGAGTCTGCGTGACTCGGGCGTCGGCGGCGCCGGCGGTAGCGGAGGCGGCACGCAGCAACAACAGCAGCATAGAAGGCAACAGCTCACCGCCGAGTTCGTCCAGTTCTCGAAGGAACTGCAGGGCAAGGGCGTGGCGAGTCCGATCAAGAAGAGCCCGAGCGCGCCGAGCCTCGTGCCGGCCGAGAAGAAGACGTCGCCGCGCAGCAGGACGCCGAAATTCGGCGGCCATCAGGGCTGCGCGCTGCTGAATCCCGAGCTGCTCAAGAGACACGCCGTGTCCGTGGATAATCCGAGCTACAATCCTCATCAGGTTATTTATCAATGTTACTCTCAGAGCACGTACGCGTAACCCTGGTAGAAATTCTCAATAATGAACTAAAAATTAACGCAAATTATTACCATTGACTTGTTTTTGATGGTTTTTCCGTTACAATTATTTTACAACATTTTAAACGAATTTTAAATGACCTGCAAGGGTCATTTAATTATTTCATGATATTACTTACAACCTTCACCACTAGATGGCGAGTACCTTTATCTATTAATCTGCAAGTGTCGAAGTTAAAATAATTGTATAAGCCAAATCTCTCTCGGGCTTAAACTGTTTAAAAGAATCTGACGGGTCCAAAAGTAGATGTGTGCCTATATACGCCGTGTTAAAAAGTCAATTTTCACTGGCCTTATTCTTGAAAATTAGCATGGCATCAGAGTCTGAAATTTTGCAGGGAGATAGTTATATCACTTATTAACGTACTACCAAAATTTCAAGACCTTTTATGAAAAAATGTTTACGTAAAGAGTCACCTTAATTAGTAATTCCTGAAACTTTTAATCGGTCATTAATACATAAATAAATTAACACAGAGCATTATATATGGTAATAAAATGCCGAAAAACACACACACTTCTGATTAGTTCGGGTCCGGTAAAATTTTTTGATAATTTCTATCGAGTTCGCATTATGATTTACGAAATTTATTCCCTCAAACTTCGTATCTTGTATCAGATGAGTCGAGAACACTCGGAGCATCAGCGACTGAACGGCAGTCAGGCCTCGATGGCGATGGACCTGCACCTGCCCAACAAGGGCCCCGTCACGCTGAAGATCAAGGATCGCTCGGACACGGCGCGACGTCATCAGCTGTCGCGACAGACGAAGATCGAGGACGCCGAGGATCTTGAGGAGGCCAGAAGGACCGCCGCGGCAATTCGGTCCTACTCGCCGAAACTTCCCGGTATAACAATTTATGCATTATTTTATCAACAGCAGAGCTCGTATAATATCTATACGCGTATACCTCAACGATGTACTTGGCTCTTTGTTTTTTATTAGAAAACTTGGGCAGCATAAGGTATCCCGACGATTTCGTGCCGCGGCGCAAAAATTCCATAGACCTGAGGATACTGCAGGACCTGCCGCTCAAGGAGATGGCGATGAAAACGTCGCCCAAGGACTTTCGGAAAATTTCATCGCCCAACTTCCGCAAAATGTCGCTCGATAAATTGGCGGCTGGTGGTAGCGGCGCTACAGCAGCTGACCGCAGGTCGATGATGGGCTCCCGCAAGGCGAGCTTGGAATTTCGGCGCAGTCCCGACTTTCGACGATCCGACTACAGGTATATATAAAATATACATGTATATAAAGCACAATTTGTTGTTGAAGTTCTATGCAGGTGAAAAAGTTTGCAAGTAAAGATAAAAATAAAAGAAGTAAGAAACGATCGGTACTTTATACAGCAGCTTTCTCACTTTTGAGTGCTCCTATACAGCTGCGGCACGTATAAGAGAAAAAGTTCACAACCTTTGCTCCGAGAGAGAGAGTTGGTTAAAAACTTGGGTGCAGCGTGGCATATTATTTATGTATGTCAGGCGTGTTTTTTTTTCTTCTTTTTGTTCTCTCCACGCTCAGAAAGTACTCGATCGAGCGCTTCACGGCCGACTGCGCCAAGTACCTGGTCGACGAGCTTCAGGGCAGCAGAGCTGCTGCTCCTCGGGCCAGCAGCGGTGAGAACCTCCTGCAGCAGCAGCAACAGCTACAACAACAGCAGCAACAGCAACAGCAACAGCAACAACAACAGCGAGGCCGATCACGTCATCCGAAACTCTATCATTCGCGCTCGGATGACAACAGGCGGCGATCGTTCGACCGACATCGCGGCGACTCTCTGGCGAGCCGTTATTCCCTGAACACGCAGGTAAGGCCTATAATTATATCATCATCGTTCGCTCGCTCGCGCGTACTTTTTGATTATTTTTTTTTCGCCCGCGCGCGCGTGGGTGCGACACGGAAACGTTTATGCGTACCTCGACTTTTCTATATTGTGCGGCGTGTCTCTCGTCTGTCTATGAAAAAAAATATAATATATAGGTCGTCATCGAGGACCGACCGCTGGACAGGTACGAGCTCAAGTACTTCTCGTCCACGGCGGCGACCTCGCTCGACACCGAGGAGACCTACAGCCGTGGCGACGCCAACTCCGACGGCGGCTCGAGCCACAACAACGACGAGCGGGTCCTGTCAGCCAGCGCGCTCTCCGACACCTGCTGCGACCCGGACGCTTTACTGGAAGAACCCGAGCTGGAGAATCTACCCGACGACGACGACGACGACGATGGGAACGAGGGATCGTCGGCAGCGGCCGAGTCGACGACCGCTGGAACGACGACAGTCGTCGTGGTCGACATCGAGAGGCACGTCGAGGAGCGGGAGGATATTCAGAAGCCATCGACGAGCAGCGGCGGCGGAGGTAACGAGACGGCGATCGATATGGGCGAGTACGACGTTTATAGTACGTAGATAAGACGATGATGTTGTAAATTTCGTTTTGACTGATATGATGTATCTCGAGCGTTGACATTTTTTACGACTTTTTTATATATCTATGATACTCTTTCGTTATCGGTTCGTTATTAATATTACAATAACGTTGCATAGCTAAGCGAATTGCAATGTGAAGAGCTTAAAATATATGAAACACACACACACAGTCGAGTCCGCGACGATATCCGTGCACTGCACTATTATTTATAACAAAAGCGGATACGTAATGTTTGATCGCGCATATGTACGCTCGAAATGGGTCATAGACCATGTGAGACGTATAATTCACAACGCGAGCTGCACTCGAGAGCTGTCGCCCTCCTCCACGGCACGCATCAATTAAGCGTTAAGGTTACTCCGTGTAAACGAATCGTTTTCGAGGATGTGCGTGTAATATTAAATTATTGTGTACAGCGATTGTAGATTTGTAACGCGAAGTGATTGAAATTAAATGAGTTTACGGCTCTGTACAAACTAAAGTCTATAACGTAGTGTTATATAAATACATTATATTATATATTCGATAATAATGATCTGAAGAAACATAGAAAAAAAAATGAATAAAACACGAGTTAATTATTTATGTAAACGTAGCTTTTATCTATTATATCTGAGCAATTCTCTCGAATACACACTCAAACTGTCCACGAATTTCCGATAAGCTTTTTTCGGTGCGCGCGAATATTTCGCGGGTATATATATAAAAAAAAAGTCACGTCGAACGCAGCGACGCGCTTTTGCACTATACGCAGCTCTCGCTCAATATTCTATACTCGTATTGTACCGCGCTGAAAATTGACTATAACATTCGAATTGCGTTTCAAATCGAGACAATCAATGAAGAAAACTACTCTTTTTCCCTCCCTCAAAAAACGTACACGCTCTTTGTCTGTAAGTATATTGCGAAAGAGGAAAATATGCAATATGTTCCTCTTACGATATAGGGCTCGCTCGTATAGCTTGATTTTATAACGAAGGAGTAAAGAAAAGGATCGAAAGGAAGCTGTGTATCTTCTGTACTCTATCTTCTTCCAAACTATGGCCTATAATTTCGTGAAGCAACATTTTGCCTTTTTCTAGTTAATACGCTATACGTACGGTCGTTCGATTCGATCAGCGACGAAACGACGCTCTATACAATGAACTCAGCGATATAAATTTTTACCCTTTGCTAATGTAGTTATCTATCGATTTTATGGAACCTATCAGTGAATAATCGAATGATTCTCATCGAATAATTCCTCTATACACATAGATTAAAATATAAAATATTTTGTAATAGGCGTTCTTTTTGTAATTGGTAAAAATCCACTTTACCATTAACAAAAAAAATCTTGAACTGGTTTTTATTGACTATCTTAATGGTTTTTTTTTCATTGTATTACGAGAAAAGAATCGTTTTTAAAATATTTTTATAACTTCTCGGTCGTTCGAAACGACGCCGATGCCAATTATGGGAAATGTCAATGATTTTACTATTCTGTATGAAAATATTTCATCTCGAATCAATTGTTTAATAATAATGTGCTATTGTATAATTCGATTAAAAATCGAATGATCGTTGATATATAGTTATTTTTGAGATCATATAAAGTGTAAAATAAAATAAGAATTATCAGTGGCTGATAAATTGCAGTTTTTTTAAAGTATAGTGATACTCGTTCACGAAAATAAAAAAAATATTATATTATAGTACACTGAGAATTACTGAAATAAAAAAGTATCTTATAAGAAAAAAATCTAGACAGTTATAATACTTGATGTATTTATACGAAACGAGCTATGTGACTATACATACCATAAAATAAACAAAAAATAAAAGCCACGTGCGTAACAATAAATAGCGAATAAACAAGAAATTTGTATTGTTGAATTTTTTTGTTGATAATCATGTCGAGTCCCCCCCCCGAGAAAATAATGCGTTCGAGCAAGTATATTTTGAATGATTGCGTATTTTTTTACTAAAACAACTTGAAGCGTGAGGCTTTGCGAGCAAAGCTGAGGGTTTTAATCTTTAAATTTTCTCGTTTTTAAAAAACCGAATGAAATAAAAGATCTATGATAAATAAAAACACTCACATAATAATTAACTGTTAATTAATCTATTACTGTAAATTAGATGAAAATGAAGATGTGTGGACAAAATTCCGAATATTGACTTTTGGACTTGTTCGTCTGTTATTTCATACTTGTTGCTTTACTCAAATAATTAACGGCGAGGTTTTGATTATTTTTATAAAACTAAAGAAAAAGGAATAAATTAGATTTGAATACCACAAAAAGTAATGATTTTGTAAACGTCGCTTCCGCGCGCAATGAAAAATTTTTTATACAATGTTGTTGAGTTGAACAAAAAGTATAACAGTTAAAATTCATTTGAATGAATAAAAATATAAGCATAAAAAAAACATGAAATGTTTAGATTTCTAAAAATACCTTTGACGTTTTTTGTACGTATAATTAATGGTTTAAAATTTAAAAAAAAAAAAATGAATAAAACTCGATGAAGCAAAACCATCACCAATCTGTGATCTAATATTGTATAATTGGTAATAGAAAGCTATATGAAGTATTTGACGCCGAGAGCGGTGCAGCTGTCAAATGTTTGATTCTCAAGCTATCGCGCGCGGATATCGTCGAATATCATATGGCGTCGTATTTTATCGATGTAGGATAGTAGAGAAGCGAAGTACTTGAGAATTGCACACGTTCACGAGCTGAATAGAACACGAGCAATGTTATAGAAAGCATAAAAATAAATGCATACAATTATATATAATACAAGATTCTATGTTATGTATATAAGTCATGAAAAATCATTGTAACCTTTGCATGCTAATTGTTGTGACATATCAATAAAAAAGAAAAAAAAATTTGTCGATGTAAAGAGTTTACTGTTTGTAATCCCTGTGGCCTATGCACGTACAATATCCCTCGTAGAAATGCATGTCGATGATGTACTGGTGAACAAAAAATGACCATTTAAAATGTTTTTAAAGTACATGAACGTTAAATAAGCTTGTTTTCGACAATTGCGTTGAAAGTATTTGAAATAAATGATCTAAAAATGATAATTTAATCGTTTTAAAAAATTCAGACGAGTTTTCAACCACTTTCAGCCTTCACCACTAGATGGCGAGTACCTTTTTATCCGTAAATCTGCAAGTGGAAAAGTGAAAATAATTGTATAATAATTATAAGTCAAACCACAGTAGATAGGGAAAAGTTCAGATAATTCTAGTTTTAATGATTCTTTAAAGAATTGACGTCCAAGAAACATTTTTCACTCGCCAAAAACGAATAACAAAATATTGAGCATTTCTGCCACAAATATAATATAGCCTCCTTCAACTCAGGCGGTAAAACAGTCGAGGCACACTCATACACACACGATACACACTCGATATATCGCGCTACATCCGCGAGACTCCGAAAGACCCAGAAGTGCGAGCGGGCAAAAAAAAACCACCTGGTATCTATATATACGCTACACACAATTCGCTGCGCTCGGTGCAGCACGAGCCAGCGGCGGACTCGCCGTACGCAATAATAACAATCATAACGAAACTGGTGCAGGTGAGAGGGGCCCGTACCCATACATACATACACACTTGTATAGAGAGAAGAGAGGAGGGGACGATATAAGGCAGTCGCGGCCGAGCGCAGAGGTATAACGAGTACACAACGCAGTGTGCAGAGGAGAGAGAGAGAAGGAAAAAGGTTTTATCGCGCAGAACGCCGGCCGGAAAAGGACAGCCCCGCAGGGGAGCACCGCCGCGACGAGAGAGAGCCTGGCACACACGTACGCGCGCACTCACACACACACACACACAGATACTGTACTAGCAGGAGTCAGGGCAACCGTCGCGGCGGAGTCGCGAGCTCTCGTTTATGCATGCAGTCAGTGGCTTAACGGACGCCATAGAAACCTGATCGGTATATAATGCGTTAGAACCGAGCGACTGTCGTCGTCGTCGTCGCGTCGATTCTCGGCCCGACGTATATTACAAAACTAGCTCACACGTGTTGGCTCTCCTGTGAGATAATCCACATACTTACACACTTCGCGAGTGATATAAATATATTTTATTATATTGTTATATATTATACATGAAAGTGAAACATGTGAAAATCGACAGAAAGTGTCGATCGGTCGAGCGAGGGAAAAATAAGGTGGCAGTGCGCTGCTTGCGTGAAGGGCAACAATCATAATCCCAAGAACGCACCAGCAGCGATATGACGTCCGAGCGCTTTCACAAGTAAGTCGATTATTTTTTTTTTGTACTTTCATTCATTTATATACTTTTTATTCTTTTCTCGGGCGGATTTTTTTTTCGGGTTGGTCAGCGCGTCAAAGTCACGCGTCATCGCTAGTTTCCTATATGTACGTGCGTGTATCGATATATCAGTGCCGCGTTTCTATGATGATGTCCTCGAAGGATGTGTGCGCTCTGTGTGTGTTTGCGATTTTGTGCGCAAACATATCTAAAGCGACTTTGTGTGTTACGACACACAGACATCGCGTGCGTCAGTCTGCCTGGCGCGTATTATATATATTTTATAAATATATCGATATATAACAGGGCACGCGCGTGAAAATATCAAGTCCGAGAGTCGCCCGTACCTCTGCGTGCAGTGCAGTGTGTGTCTGCATGTGTATAATATGTGAATCAAACGTGTGTAGCGCAGCAGATTCGAAAGTCGCGCATGTGTGTGGCAGCAGCAGCAGCAGCAGCAGCTCGTTTGTTTGTGCACCCGCGCGACGACGACGACGACGTATGTGCAGCACACAGACAAACGAGCGGGACCGTATGTTGCACTTTTGCACACACATGCGGCTTTACATGTTATATTGCTTTGTTTGTCAGCTGTATTATGTGTACTAATATAGCTAACGATCGCGATGTTTATAAGGAGTCTCAAGGATATTTTTTTCTTCTTCTTCTTCTCTTTTCTTTTTCTTTTTGCAATATACGGTTCCGTGTAAAATAAATATTTATTCGTATATCGAACGATCGGAGAGAGATGATGCATCATGACGCTCGATCTTTTGTCGTACAGTTTTTGTTTTTCCTCCTACGATTGTTTTCATTAATACACTACGATCCGAAGCCTCTAATACTATATAGCACCAAACAACAAATCGGCGCATCATTGCGACCACTACATCGATCTCGAAAACGAGGCTCGAACTATATAATAAAAGTGACCACCATCGTTTTTTTTTTTTGTTGTCGCAGTCTCGCCGCAAAAATATCGCGAGAACAAAGCTTATAATACGCCGATCATGAAATTTTCCCATGACGCGTCTCGCGGTGGGGTATCTCTCGATAAGTGTGACGCGAATCGGTCCATCGAGCAAGCTCTATATATCGTATATATAGGGTATTTGTTTGCCGCAGCGGCTCGCAATCCGCTCGCGCGCGAATTGATTTACACGACGTTAAGTGCAGTAGACGCTTTCAGCGACAAAAGACCTCGCGAGGCCATTACCCGTTATATAGATTCTCTCGACTACCCTCTCGAACACCCCGAAAGTTTCGATCTTATACGTTAACGATCTCGTTTACGTTGTATATACATGCATCCTCTATCTCTCTCTCTCTATCGCAGGCGTTTATCACCCTAATAAACCGCTTAATCGGCCGACTATTTACTATCTAACGACGACGAAGCTACTAACTACGAGCTGTTATACGGAGCTGCAGCTCTATATAATACACGCATCACGCGATCCGCAAGATCGCTGCTGCAGCGCAGGTCCGTAATTATGTGTATGTACGCAGCTCGAGGATCGCTCGCGACCATCTTCCACAGTATTTTGCACCAGTTACACGCCAATTGCATGTCATTATATCGTCGTCGCGCTCGCGCCAGCGTTGAAAAATTATGCGCGCCTTCTATACTTTTTTTCTCTCTCTCTCTAGCTGCGGCTACTTTTTATTTTTTTGTCCAACTCACGGCTCTCGCTCGGCGTTTCAGAAAATTTTCTCCTATATTTTTCCACTTTTTTCCTTTTAGAAAGCACGCCTGCGCGTGCATACTGTAGTATTCTTGGGTTTTTTTTTCTTCTTTTCAAAACCGCGGATCGAGTCGTTGTCGTGTAGTTGTCGTCGTCGTCGCATCGTCGATTGTAAGGAGCTTGTTTATAACGTTATTAAGAATAGACGAAAAGGCGTACATTTTAGATGAGACAAAAAACAACGACGAGATTAGAAAACCCTAGTAGAAATTGTCAACATTAGTCATGGTCTTATACACGAAAAATGAAAATTTAAAAGTTTTTTAAATTACATCACCATTAATTGCTTTGTTTTTGGAAAAATTTCCTTCACAATTATGTTAAAGATATTGAGGGCATTGTAAATAACCTGAAAATTATAATTTATCTGTTTCCAAATTTTCGTACTGTTTTCAACCACTTTAACTATGATATAATATCATTTGAAGGCTCTGCCACTAGATGGCGAGTATACTTATATTTGTAAATCTGCAAGTGGTAAGGTCAAAATAATTGTATAAGTCAATTCAAATAGTAAACCTTAGCCAAAATACGGGATCTTGACCTGAAAACAAACTATTTAGTATTTCTACCAGAAAAATTTATATTCATCCATTAATTACTCGAATTAGTTGGAGATTCATTGATGATATTTTTATACTATACAGTCGTCTAATTGACAATTTCCGTGATATGCTAAAGATATTTTATCTAGAATTTCATAAGATTTTCTCAATAACTCTTTAATTTTTCAAGCATAGATATATCACTGATTTCAATGGGCCCCGCAAAAAAATTAGCACGCAATATTACGACGAGAGCTGTGTTACCATGCAGTATCGTAGCGCATCATCCTCTCCGCCCCAACTCGAAAGAATTAACTCTATATAGACAAAAAAAGCTTTTCTCGGCATTGAAGTCGGGGGACGATTAGCATATAAAAGTATACAGTAGCTGCAGCACGCTGATCCAACAAAGCAGCGACTGACATTAACATCAAGGATCTCGCGCGGCTCCGGCGCTATCATTATCGTATACGCGCGCGGAGGAAGAAAAAGAAAAATCCTTCGAAAACTGTGCACACGTAACCCAGGATATATCTCTTTCTCTCTCTGTTTCAAGTGTATATAGTACGACGGTAGAGTTATGTACGCACGCGTGTACAATATGAAATCGACAAAAAAATTATTTGACGCAAGCGAGAGCGAGAGAGACAGACGGAGAACGAACACAATGGCTCAAACGAAATCGGGCATTAGGTATGCTCGCGTCGTGTCTTATGTACTCGTATAATACAACAGTTACACTATGCACGTTGCACGCGGCGCACTGCGAGCAGCACACCTCGCCGAGTAAAAAACAGAAGAGAAGGAAGCAAAAAAAAGTCATGCGCTGCGTCGCTATATATATATCCTATATACGCGCGTGCTGATGCAACCGTAAGTTTGTTTTATAGATAACGAATGGATCGCATTCGTATACACGAGATATATAAAAAAAAAATTGAAATTCGATCGCTGTAAGCCAGAGCTGCAGTAAGAAACGAGGATCGGATTCGCGAGTGGCGAAGCAGAAATTTTAGTGCCCCCCCTGTATGTGATAGCATGACCACGGCGCGATTCCAATTGCAATAATGGTTTTGGTCTATTCTCGAATTCGAGTACGGTATAATTTTTGCATTATCGTTGTTTATTTTTTACGAGGCAATACACTCGAATCGATACTCGAATCGTACATTAGCCGTAATGACCGTCGTTGATTTAATAAACGATATGTATATAAAATCCGATCGAACGCATATGAGATATTAAAACAGTTTTTTGATTCCATTACGATTTACTTCCACCTAACTCAAGACTGCAGTTATATATATCGTCGAAAAAACGACAACGACGACAATTCGTCTCGACGTATACTGCAATACTGTAATAAGACAGACAGACAGCGACCGATGCCGGACGACGGACGATGTTGGCCTGCGCGCAGTTCACGGATCGATCGGCTTTATTACGAAATCGGCGCACATAAGCCGTAATTTGAAATTACGCGATAACTTCTTCTATTACACTTATATACGCTCTAAAAAATTTTATCGCTCACTAAACGTGGCGGCGGCGCATTATTACTATAAAAACGCGCGCGCGCGGAGCGCATATCTAGCTGCTGCTGCGGGCCATATCGTTCGAGAGAAGTACGACCGTTACGCGAGTAGTGCACCGAGCTCCGCAGGGCACAAAATGCATCGTTGCACGCACACGCGCATACACACACGTACATATGAGCATTACCAGCTGGAAAGACGATCTCAAAGATTCTCGCCTACGATTCGCGATATACATATTATGAGCGAAGTACTGAGCGTATCAGCTGATGGTGAAAATTGACGCTGATCCGATCGATTGGCTATCTCGGGCACGTTGAGGGGGGAAAAAAAAATTGCGTATACGATTTTCATTGTCGCGTCCGCGAGCTTACGATATATATAATGAGAAATACAACCCTGCGCTTTCTTTTCGTGGCGGAGTATAACAAAAAAATATAATAACACATCTATATCTGCCAGGAAGTCGTTACAGTTTCAGTACACATACATACGCGTGCCACACGTATAATAATACATAAGTACGTGTAGTACGGGTAATGCGGTCGTTGCCGAGTTAACAGAAGCTCTGAAAAAAGGGCCAAGCTGAAAAAACACACACACGAGCTCTATTACGAGCGAAATAAAAGTGATCCGGGTGATGGTGGTGACACTCGAGGATCGCCCGCGCGCTACATATACAGTCACATGATGTAGCTGCTGGACACACAAAATCAATAATGACCCGACACTCAGTCAGCGGTATCGTATAATAATATAGATATAGTAGAGTATATATATCGCAGGAGACAGAGAGAGACACAACCGCGCGGCCGGGGTGAAACTAGTGTATACGAGGATATTTTTCGCACGGTTCATTTTTCAACTCTATAAGAGCGAATTCGTTGAGCAAAAAAAAAAAGGAAAGAGAGAAAGAGAATATTCCAGCTTTTATATGTTATATCTGACTCAGTGAGTGTGTCTGTGTGTCGCAAGACGGCTTCTCCATATTCGAGAGCAATGCTACACATACGATATGTGTATACAAGCAAACAAACGATGAGTCGCGTCGCGTATAGTGCAAAGTTACGCACACACGCACGTACCGTACGAGCGATGAGTAAATAGACGCCCGCGCGGCTCATCAGCGGATGAAATTATTGGGTAATGCGGAGAAGAAGCGGAGCACATATACACACTACAGTAATAAGCTAGCGCACTCGAGGACTTCAATAAACGACGAGACGCGCATTACGTGCTTATCGTTTTTTTTTTTATTATTGAGAAAACCAATCGATTGTTATATCAACCGGCTCGAGAGGAGAAATTTCGCTTTTTTTTTCCTTTTCTACTACTTCTTCGTCAAGCCGAGCAGCATACGCAGCGGTACATCTCGGAAATATACTCTATATAATGTACGCAATAACTATACAGACAAAGCTCGTTAACCGCAAATGACGAGTGCACACATATATATACACTATATCATATACTTATAGTAGTGAATGCATTTCGAGAGCCGCGCAAAAGTAAAAGCATCTGTCGCGAGAAGCGCACTCGGAAATAAGACGAAATAATAAAACGTACGTATGTGAAATTCGATATCGTCTCTTTTGTAACTCGTATATCGTATACGTAGTAGGTAGGTACTCGTCTCGGTGTTCTCCTTCGTGCATGATATATTAACAAACGACGGTACAATATACGAAAGCTTTTATACGATTATAACGATAGCAGCTTCTCCTTTAAGTGTGCGAAAAAAGTTAATTGGAGAAAAACTACATGCTCGAGAGCTACTACTATGTGTGACTGTGTATACATTGCAGTACGTCTTCGAGGAACGATCGCTCAACATTTGCGTTTATATTATACGTACGTGTATAAGTACGCTCGCAGGTCGAGTGAGAGCCGCGGATGCAGCCGAGGAATATAAATGTCACTCACTCGAGACTGCTGCCAGCCAGGCAGTGCAGGAATTTGTTTTTGCATATACGCGCGTTTAATCGTTGATTGTTCGTCGGCCGAGTGACTATATAGAAAGTCTTTTCCCAGAGTTGTTGTTGCTGCTGCTGCATCGATTTACGCTATACAGTACCAAGAACAAGTGCTCGAGTTTAGCTTGTAATACCTATTAACGACTATGTTAATTGTAAACACTTCGATGTCTCTCTCTCTAAATACACTTAGCAACAAGTATTTACGCTCGTCAAAAATTATCGATCGTTGCGAATAAAGTAAAAACTAAAGTGTATTCTCGTATCGCGCACGTGCGAATCATAACTCTTTTTTACGTCATTGCGCACGAGTCAAAGTTGATTCAATTTTCGCTCGTGTGTAGGGGTATACGTCTAGCTCACGCCCACGCGTTCACTTTTCAAGAGGAATACATGCATACCCGAGCGTAAGTTCGTGCGCGTCTAGGTGTATATATGCGCTGCAAATGAAATACGTCCAAAGCTTCGCAACCCGTCGACACTCTCGCGTGTGTGTTATAATACATACGTATGGAAGAGCGCGTCCGAAACAATATAATCTACGCGATGCACGCGCCGCGCATGCAAGTTATGTGCCGTATATACACAAGCGAGAGAAAAAGATAGCAATCCATCACACTACGTACTCGTGTGTGTGTCTGCTTGTGTGTGAGACGCCGCTTTGCGAGCGCGTGAAGTAGACAAAAGGAGTATACGCGCGGATCCTGCGCTGTATACGATACAATTTATTTATACGGAATGAATGAATAATAATTTAAATATAAACAAGGTGATTGGCATATTCGAGGCGGAAAATTATCATTTCGTTATGAATTCACCACTGGTAATATCGGAAACGTATCTTCTACGTATCGAAATATTTTATGCGGTTACAGAATTATTCGCAGCAATCATTAAAAATAACAAGTTAAATCTCGCTGAACAAAGTAAACTATATGAACTTTCGAAGGAACAATACTTCACAGGGTTTCATAGTCAACAGTTCAAGAAAATTATACAGAAATATCGTAGTTTCAAAGAATTTACTTTATCTACTGTTTTAAGTAACGATTTAACTGACACCATTCAACAGATTCTGACCTGTAATATCTATTCATGGACGCCCACACAGTAAAACTGCCTAGTCGAGCCACTTATACAAGTACCCTGGCGGGGTCCCGTCGCTTGCGGGAGTCGATGCGCCGCCTAGCGGTCGGTGGTGAAGCTCGCAGAGGCCGGACTCGCCGTGTTTGGCTCGTGTGTGTCGTCTATTCTGTGTTGGTACTTGTATCGGTGAACGAAGTATGCCGTTACAACTTATACACGCGTGTTCAAGTTAAGTTGTAAGTTAACATGGATTTAGCGAAGGACGTTTAATAAACATGTTTATGGATCGATCGTGGTAGGTCATCATCGCATAGATGTGAATTTCCAAAAACTTCGGTAAACTCGCTGCATACTCGCGGGGGGTTTTTTTTGCTCGATCAAAGAGTCATCATCATCATCGAACGTGCTTTTCGAGTTTCGGTATGCACTCAGGAGTAAAGATGCCTTTAGAACTTATTCAACGAAATTAATGTAAAGCGCCTTTTTTCTTTTTTGGCATGTTATTACACATATCGAATGATAGAGACACGATGCTGCTCTTGCAGCACATATACACGAAATACCTTTCTCTCGAGGGACTGCCACTCTCTTTCTCGCTCTCTCGACGAAAGGTCGAGAAATAAGCGTAATCATTTCAAAAATCTTTACCCTCTCAGCCGGGTCATGATTACCCGTTTGGCGAATTAGTGCTACTCTCGCGCGACTGATGGCGCGTGCCTGAATTATCCGAAGTCACAAGAGAAAAAGCAAAGCTTTAGGTATATAAGTCTATTTTGTACCAAGCCTTGTATTCGCCGTGTCGTGTTCGCACAAGTCGCCGCGCGTTTAAGTTCGCTGCTCTATTTTACACACGTATACGTTTCACCATTCGCTCCGTATGAACGAGACGCGCGGAAAATTAGACGGCAATAAACCCTTGTTTCGTTCGCTCGTCCATGCACCATGCGCCGCTCGTTTAAAATCCACCGGCGCGAGAGAGAGCTGTGTAAAGCTCGCGACTCGAATAACCGAAGTTTAATAAAGCTCCCTAAATATAGAATTATTTCGATGATAGCAGCAGTATACGCGCGAGGAGCTGTCAGCACAATCGTACATGTACACGTGCGGCCGACCGGACCGACCCAGCGATTTTAATGTATTATTTATGACACGGGCATATTTTTATCGTTGTGTGTACAAAAAAGTATAGGGTGAATAATATCACTACCGCGTGACAGGTGCCTGAAGCAGCAGAAGCAGGGATTACATTATTATATACTTATCGAACCGCGAAGAAACGATACGACACGTATACGTAGACATGTGTGACACGCGTGACACGTGAATTATTTTACACGCGCCCCTGGTACACGAGTGCATTTCTATAACATATAATATAATATAATTTGCGAAATTCAAAATCGAGTTTTAAGCGCCGCGCCCGAAGGAAGATGAGCGACGCGACGAAGATCGTTTAATTTTCACTCGGCGTGTATAATGGCGTATACGGCTTTCTCAACTCGTATAACAAGCAGAGAGACGACGACGACGTCGAGTGACAAAATCGATCCACTTGCTTTTGCGCGCACGCGAAAAGAGAATCGCTTATATAGTAGAGAAATTACGCAGCGGTAGCTGTCACTCGACGACGATGCTCAAGAAAGAAAACAAGTAGATGATTTCACGACGAATATTCGCTGCCTGTGTATACAACTCGTGCCATTGAACGAGATAAAGAAGATGCGCGCGCTCGAGAGAGCGCACAAAAAAATGGAAAATACCTGGAATCGCGCGACTCACACAACGCTCGCGCGAACGTTTTCTAGGACGCGCGCGAAAGAAATGAAAAACTGCTTGTATGGTCGACTTTTATACGTGGTTATATACAGTGGGCAGAGGCCATTGGTAAACTTGCTTCGAGGAACAAGAAAGAAAAGAGAGAGAAATAACATTTTCTCTCTTAGCGAATGCTTCACGTTGACAAATAATCGAATGTCTCGTTCCCGAACGAAATTAGCTCCGTTTTATATATATTTTTACGTTTCTGAACACATAAAAATGATTGTTTATCGCTTTTTTTGATGTTTTTACGGTCCGATGTTTCATTAATATACAGCCCACGTGTCAATAAAACAATATGATGTATCTACTCCTTTTTTTTGTTATATATTTAATAAAAATAATAAAAAGTCTTTTTTCCATTACTTTTTTCAGAGCCGCGAAGGAAAATATCCTCGAGATACTGAAGGAGGCGACGAGAAAAGACTGCAACACGCGGGACGATGGCGGCATGACCCCGACGCTATGGTCAGCCTTCGAAGGTCACATCGAGGCGCTCAGGCTTTTAGTCGCTAAAGGGTATGTAATAGCTTGCGAACTTGACGTTACATCACTTTAGTGTCTAATAAAAAAAAAAAAAAGGAAGCAAAAAAATACTCGCAGCGTCGAATATACGCTACTGCTGCTACGGCTGCAATCCATCCCCCCACTCCCGAAGAATTTCAATTTACATAGTTTAATATCGTACGCGCGTATTGTTGCAGATCGGTTGAATTTCGTACGTACACGCGTACGGAAGAAAAGTTGCTCGGAGATTCTTGAACATTTTTCGCGTGTTGAGAAGTCTCGCTGACAAAAAAGAACGAAATAAAAAGAGTAAAAAGTTGTCGAAACTCCGGTGCACGTTCATATTCTTTGTTCGATCGGAATGTATACGCATCGCACATCTCTCGAGCACGTGCACTTTTACACGATAATTCCAAGCTAAAAATTTCTTTCGCGAGTACGAGTTCAAAACATTTTCGTGCAGATGTATGAAAATTTGAGCTATGCATATGTATGGAAGTACAGCGAGTCAACAGATGTGTGCTCTGCACTTCTTACATGTATACAAAACGGAAATGCTCTCGCGGCCCACAATGGGATCGCTCCCGAACGCGCACTGCATTTCCTCGCGCGCGTTTTGCGGTGTGTGCAGTGCAGGAAGCAGCAGCCGACGACGATGACTTATAAAAGTATATACCTCGTGCGCGCATCGCGTCCTCGTGTACATAATAATACATTATACATTTTACGCGCTTGTGCGCGAGCTTACGATATCGTTTTAAAGCTCGTTAAATTACGTATTTTACGATAAAAAAAAAAAAAAGAAATTTATTTTTAATGCGCGCGCCTGGTGCGGTGCTGCTGCACTTCACCAGGCCGTAAAAAAAAAAAGAGTGGCTTACTACACGCGTATATATAAATGCATGCAGCAGGTTGGTAGGTAGGTATAAGCGAGCGCTCGCACGTGCGCTTGAATAATTTAACTCCCACTCGAACTGCTGCCACGCTTTACGGCTTTCGACGCGCACACATATATACGGACAGACGCACACACGTGACGACGTAGTAGAGCTCGTCCGAGAGACCGAGATTCCCTTCGCTGCTGCTGCCGCCGCTGCTGCTTTTCTCATTTCCATTTTCATATAACGTGCGCGCACACGCTGCAGCACCAACGAAGTTTCGTCTGTAATTACACGGGACTCGGTAAAATATCTGTGCTGTTTCGACTTGAAAAAAAATCTTAACATTAAAAACGACATAAATCAGCATGTTTTTGTTTAAGCGAGACCGTTAAAAACGTTTTTTCTCTGAATGAAACCGAAGAAATGAATGATATCGTTGAATCGACGTTGCAAATCGCGACTCCGTCTCACTTTGAACAGAGGCTCTTTTTTTATCGGTTTTAGAACGCATAAAGGGCGATTGCGAGTCTCGACTTCGAGTCTCGTACGACACGGTCAGTCGTAGTCAGTCAGCGGATTTTCGTGGTCACATAATCATTGCTCCACAGTTCTCGCTGGTAAAATATGTCAATCGTCAACGAAGCTACGTGTTATACGCAAATTGATAAAGAAGAGTGCGTATTTACGTGGGTGATGAGTGATTTTCGTCTGTTTTGGAACAAGCCGCGTGCAAGAATGTCATCGCCAACATTCAATGTCGGTAGTTCTGATCATGCACAGTTTCAATTCGAATTCTACAAAACTTTCCCAGACCCTTTCGGTCGGTCTTATGGAATATTGGATCTATGCTGCGTAAAAATCAATACAGAATTACGATGCAAATTCAAGGTATCCAATATCAAAGATGACAAAATTCTTAATACCAGATTAAATTATTTTTAATTTCGGTCGGATTATCCAAAAGTATGCAATATTATCCAATTACAAGGCTTCGAAGTCAAAAATTGCATTTCATCCACGAAAACAGCAATTTTTCGCTGCGAATTATCATTTTTCTCCAGAGATCATAAGAGCTCGTTGACGTACGAAACCGTCGATCCGAACGAATCACCAAAACTGAAATTCGATCGGGTGTTTCTCGATGAAAAGTTCAGCGATGTCTAAGCTACGAGCAGTAAGTGGGCGAGTACAGTATTCAATGACACGTTCAGCAATGACACGCTGGAAAACAACGGCCAATCGGTAATTGCGATCGATGTCAGTGACGGAGCTGCAGTGGAGATGCTGCGATACATTTACACGGGCAGCGTCGCGAATAAAGAATTTTCTTTGATGACCGAGCTCTTGGTGGCCGCTGTCAAGTATCAACTTACGGGGCTGAAAAATGAGTGCGAAAGAAATCTTAAGCTTCGTTTGAAGCGCTGAAAGTACTACAGAAATTTTGAAAACTTTTATGCTATTTCATATTTTCACTTCACTTATATTTGCCGATATCTTAATTTCGCAACGCTTTGTAATTTTTTTTTATTAAAAATAAAAATTCGTTGACAAAATCCAATCTTTCCATCTGCTTTATCATACCATTCATTAGAGTATAAAAAACCAATTATTAAGGAAGTTGGGAAGGCATCGATCTCGATTTAATAAATACGATTTTACATTTAAAATATACATTTTTATTTAAAAAATCAATTCAAAATTATTCCATGACATTTGTTCGAGTCAGACCGTGAAAAATGTTTTTTTTTTTGTTTTTTTAATAAATCGAAAAAATAATTTCTCATGGCTAGCGTTTTTCAAGATTTTTCCACGGTGTTTAATGCCGACGAAAAACGTTACTTTAACAGTATATAATCGAGCTCATGCTTGCAGGCGAGCATTATAATGCCAAAGCTCATCGCGCGCGAGGTGTGCAGATGTGCAGAAAAAAAATACAGCTATATGGAATCGTATTAAACACGAATTAGAAACGGCTATTACAGCCAACAGTTTATATACTATATATAGGCACGCACGATTACATTATAATATTGCTCGAAGAGTCGAGTCAGATTCCCTGAGTCCACTCCGCGGCTGGTGCGAATCATCGTGCCCGCATGTGTAACGCGCATTATTATCATTATTATTATATATATATAGGAGAAACGCATCGCTGACTCTTAGCGTGACCGGAAACGCACCTATAATACACCTATCTGTCTCCTCTCTCTCAGTGGGATGCAGCAGCAGCAGCAGTAGCAGCGAATTACGCACTTGCTGCTCGAGCTGGCGGTGGTTGCAATATTCGACCATTGTTCAAATACAATTTGACCATAGTGTATATATTTGCGCGTGTATTATGTCGCAAGACGATAATCTACCTACTATACCAGTATATGTACGCGTATAATAATAGCTCGATTGTCTCTCTCTGTCTGTCTCTCTCTCTTGGCACAATGCACAAACACACACAGAGGCGATCCCGACAAAGCCGACTACTTTGGCAACACGGCGCTGCACTTGGCTGCGGCCCGGGGCCACGAGCTCTGCGTGCGCTTCCTCGTCAAGTTCGGCTGCAACATCTGGTCGCTGGACATCGATCGGCACTCGGCCCGCGAGCTCGCCGCCATCAACGGCCGCGATCGCATACTCCAGTTTCTGGATCTCGCCCAGGCCGACCAGGAGCTCAACAGCCGCAAGAAGAGCCGACTGATGAAGGACAAGGCCGAGAAGGAGGCGGAAAAGAGGTAAATATATATCATCGAGGTAATAAAGATCATGGGAATGCGGCGCGCCGATATGATGTATCTCGCCATACGACGATATGAAAAGAAGGGGGAAAATAATTGCGTAGGAGAGAAAGATGAAATTGCGTTAAACTTTTCGAGATTTCTTTACGTTCTAGCTATAGATGCACACATCGTACATATTAGAAACGGGCTTTGACTTATACAATTATTTTCAATTTGTCACATGTAGATTTGAAAAAATAAAGGTACTCGCCATCTGGCGGCGGCTCCAGAAATCATAATCGAAACATTGATTTTGAATCGAATTATTTAAAACCAAGGGCATCGAATAAAAACGATATTCTTCCCAATTTCTCGTAAAAATATCAAAAACCACCTTTATTCACATTTTAAATTCTTCCACAAATCAGAATTCTACAGAGAACGAACCATGTACAGACGCGGCGACTCGCGTTCACCGCAAAACTCGCGGCGATCCGCCGATCGTCCGCGACTCGAGCTCTCCTGTACATACACAACATCTTTTTCCATTTTCTCATTATAATTTGTTTTTTTTTCTCTTCCTTCTTCTTCTTCTTCTCTCGTACTCTATACCACACTCGCGTCTCTTTCGACTTCTCGCGTACTCGCGCAGCAAGGCGTATAATGTGCACAACCACTCGCGAGAGAGAGATGCATTTGCTCTCCTCCGCACGCGCGGCGCACATTCCACGGCTTCGCGAATGAACCGAAAAAAAAACAACAGCAACAGCAACGACTATACGAAACACGTTCGAGCTCTCGCGCGGACGAGTGCAATATATACCGGTATGTATGTATGTGTATAGAGATGCTGTTGGTGGTGTGTACTCGTGTACTAGCCATCTGTGCTTGTATATGTACCTACATTATAAATAAATGGATTGGAAAAGATGAAACGCGCGCCTTGCAGCAGGTATATAGGTATATTCTCGTTCTCTTCTTCTTCTTCTTCTTCTTCGTCGTGCTTTTTAGTGCCCCCGACGGCAGCAGCAGCTGTGCAGAGGCAACCAGTTGCATCTACTTTCCGGAGCATACCTACTCGTAGATATGTACAAACGCGTATACAGCATAAACGAGCGTAACGAAGCTTTTCCCGGACCGACTCTCGCCTCGCGCTCGTTTCGAGTTGTGTGTGTGACTTTGTGCACGATGTATAATGATATATCGTGCACGGATGGCACGGGTACTTTACACGTTTGTGGTATGTTAACTGCTGAATGCTCGCGAGGATGACCGAGCACATATTTTCGCAACTGCATGCGGTACGTACGGCTGTCCTTCGGCGCGCGCTGCGATGAAAAATGACCACCGCCACCGCTGAGCGAGAAAGTTTTTCCACGAAAGAACAATGCGCGTTTATTATATAGAAAATGGGCATTTTCTAGCTGGCTGTCGTCCACATCGTATATAATACGTATCTCTTTGTTCGTCCTGTCGCAGGTTGAAGGAGTACGTGAAACGTCAGAAGCTCGCGGAGTCGCGCGCCGAAAAGGAGCAAAAGAAGCTGCTCAAGCAGCAGCAGCAGCAGCAACAGCAGCAGATGCAACAGACCGCGACACAGGGTGAACTGGTCAACGGCACGCTGAGCCACACGAACGGCGTGACGACCTTCAAGGGCCGCATGAAGCCGTCGCCGACGTACAGCGACATCGTGGGCACGGCCACGAAACGACACGCGGGCATCGTCGGCAAGAAGGCGTTGGCAGCCCGCAGGGCCGTCGACGATTTCAAGGTCGTCCAGGTAAGAGGGAATAAGAGTGGTGCATTTCAAGACTGGTTTTATATACACTGAGAAAAATCTATAGGAAGTTTTGATACAATATATGATAAAAATTACTAGGTTCTGTAGTAACTGATGTACCATATATCTAATTATGACACTGTTTACCATTTTTTTAAGAAATATTACTATGAGTATTGCAAAGAAAACCATATTGTCTACGAAAAATTACTATATTGGATAGCAAAACTTGCAATGTCGTTAATATTGATAAATCGTCAATAGATGGCGAATGAAGGTTTTTTTAGTAAAACTCGCAAGTGACAATTTTTAAAACTACTATATATAAGAATCTTTACCCAACTTCTCTATGGTGCAGTTTCAATTCGCATTAGAAGATATTTGTTAGTACGAGTTGTAGGTCTGTATTATATAAATATGAGTCCATAACCAAAAAAATTGAATTAAAAGATATTTCTTTCTGATACAGATTCCCAGCTAGCAGAACTTAAACATACCTCAACTTGAAAGTAAAAATAACTTTTTATTTAAAATCATGTTCAACGTAGTAGAAATTGCTACTAAAAATTCTACTATCACAAAAATTGTAACGCGCATTGCAAATAATACTATGTTTTGAGTTTGTACCCCAACTGTAATACAATATAGTAATTTTAATTTTTTTATTTTAAAATTTCCTATACATTTTTCTCAGTGTAGCGAAAGGAAAACCTCATCTCTCCGCTCTGCTCTGCTCAAAGATGAATGAGTTTTGTTTTACGTTGCAGATCGAGGTCGACGGAAAGAAGTCGGTGCGCAGCTTGACGGGCCTGCGCCGCGACTCGGAGGTGATGTACGTCGGCACGTACGACACCAACACCCTCGTCCTGTCCAATAACAAGCCTAGTCAAACGAATTACAACAATAACAACAACAACAACTACAACAACAACAATAATCACAACAATAATAACAACAACAATCCCGCGATAATGAGGCGCGGCAAGATCTCCGACGTTTGGGGCTCGCTGAATCGAGCGCGAAGCACGCCCGATCTGCTGGGCGATCGTTGCCCCGAGCTCGACGAGGAAGAGGACGAAGCGGCGAGCGGAGACGAGGCAGACAGTACGAGCGTGATCGAGCAGAGGCTTCAGTTGCAGGAGCCCGCGAGTATATTCAACAGGCCCGGCTTCGGTTCCGTTGCCTTCAGACGATCGGTAAGTCGAGCGAAAAAAAAGAAAAGAAAAAAAATGGGAGAAAATGCGCGGAAGCGAGAGTCACCGAGCGCCGCCGATGCAAATGATCGACGAAATGATCTAATCGGCGATGCAATGAATCCGTGTTATATATAAGAATCGTGACTTTTACTTTCGACGATATCGTGACGACGTTCGAAGCGATCGACACGTAAAATCAGAGAGTCCCTTTCCTCGAGATTTATTATCGTATTCGAGGGATCGGCTCTTTTTTTTCTTCTCTCGAACAAAGACGATCGAAAAATCGAAAGTTACGATTTACTTTATATTATTCCGAATCCGCAGATAGCCTCGACGCTGGACAATTTACCGGTGACCCAGGTGGAGATCCATCGCAACGAGAACGGCGAGCAGCTCTATCAGAGCTCCAATGGCTCGTCGTCGGGCAACGGCGATCATCTACCCAGTGGCGTTAACCCACTGCAACAACAACAGCAGCAGCAGCACCACCACCACCACCATCGCCAGCATCAGCTACACCAGCAACACAGAAACGGACACAACGAGGAAATCAGCATCGGAAGCGCCGGAAGTTTGGCGCGAAGGCAGAGCATGTGGGACGACGATTTGATTTCCGGTACGATTTTTTTTTCCTTTCTTTCTTTTTCGTATGCGCTCTTTTTTGCACGCGTGTGTATAATAGCTCGACGTCCTGAACTGGGGGGTACGACGTGAATTTGATTTTTATTATTATTATGTATCACGGGTCGGTGAGCTTTTTGTTTGGCCGCAGTGCGGAGGGGACCGTGCAAATATGTATGTTTTGTTGCTCTGTGTATATTACAGATGTCATATTCTCTCGTTAAATATATAAACACAATTCTGGTGGAAATGTTCAATCTTCATCATGGCCTAATAATCAAAAAACTACAATTTAAAATGTTCAATTGGAAATGACAAAATTATGTTGAAACACATTTTAAATCACTTTAGCTGTTTAACAAAACTCGTTTTGTTAAAAAACCATAGCTGTACCCGCTGAGAAATATACTATTAAACTAGTTTTCATACGATGATCTACCGCTAGATGGCGAGTACCTTTATTTTGGTAAATCTGCAAGTGGAAAAGCCAAAATAATAGTATAAGTCACTGCTCAAGACTATAGTCAAGTCAATAAAGCACGGTTTTGACTTATACGGATAATTCGTACCTTGTTTTCAATGATAATTTCATTAAGTTAAAAAAGGTCATTGAAAAGCAAAAAAAAATTTGAGAATTACATAACCATAAAGTCATTACATCCATTCAGTCTAAAGGATCTTTAATTCCCAAGTAACATTTTTTGTTGGCTATGATATAGTCATGAAATAACAGGTATTTTTCCACAAAATCGTACAAGTATTAACCGATTACTTCGCTTTCCCCCAGACGAAGATGAAACAGACGAAGAATGGACGCCGCTGCAACGTTTTCTGGTGGCCAATAATCTCGCCTCGATTCATCCGACCCTCGAAGCCGAGCAGATCGACCTCGAGGCCCTGATGCTGCTCACCGAGAACGACATAGCCGCGCTGAAATTGCCGCTGGGTCCAAGGCGGAAATTGCTTCACGCCATAGCGAGCCGCAAAAAGGCCCTCGAGGCTCACGAGTCGGTTATCAAAGATATCAGATTATGAAGTTCGCGAGTTCGCATAAATGTGAGATTGTCGTCGAATATTCATCGCTGACTCTCTGAATTTATGGGAAATTAAGGTCGAGATTCGATCGACTCGCACGGATTCCAAATACTGCCTTCCACTGAACTTTTGGAAAGATATATTTTATTACTATCTTGTACGAGATATTCGTTGTAATAAATAAGTATGTTATTTGTACATTGCTTTAATTTTAATATAATTTTACGAATGATACAATGATTTGTAATTATTAGGCGTTACAATATTGTTTGCAATTATTCATGAGATAGTTTAAAGAATGTATATCAAAGCAAATTAATGACAATTGATTTTCATAGGCACTACAATAAATGTAATAAGAAGTTAAAAAAGAACGAATAATTTTACAAGTAATATTTACTTTTCCCTAGCAACAATTTTACTTTCGAATATTTTTCATAGCAGGCAATAAACTACTTTTTCTATAATTTTACTGTTTGAGTCTATTTTTTATATTAATAGAAAATAATGTATCAATATTAAAATCTAAATAACAATATTCGACTGATATAAAAAATTAATCAAAAAAAATGACTGTTTTAAACATGGCAATGAATCCGAGTAAATACGGAAATTAATCGTGATTAAATCATGATCGATGATAAAAAAAGAACCGAATAGGTCATTTTCTTATAGAATTAGACTAAGGATTTATTTATAGAATGTTTTAGTTATCAAAGCCTTTTAGAGATTATTTGAATTAAATGATGCCTATAAATTTCAATTTACTAAAAATTCCGATGATTCTATTAAAATGAATACCAACTTCTTTTATTTTTTAAATTTATATTTAGTTGTAGACTCCCACTCGAAACTTTAATTATATTACAGCCAACAATACGGAAATTAAAGACAAAGACGTTTTTAAGACCTGCATCAAAAAACAAAGTATACAATTACGCAAAAACTAATTAATAAATAACCATACTCACTGCTCCAAATGACTCTAAACAAAGATGACTTAATTTTCCTGACGTAATAAAGCATGGATAAAGTGTACGAGTACACGTCATCACTATCAACCGCTGCGATTTTACCGAAGTCGAAAACCAATAACTGCAATAACTGCAAATAAACTTTTTTATTCATCTGGGCAAAATCTTGGATCATAAATTTGATAAAAATAAATGGATTGATAAAATTTTAATTCATCAATTATTTTTTCTCACACGCTGAAGTGCACTCGAGAGCTACTATCAATAACTAATTGTCCGATCCAAAAATAATACCACAGATGTAGTACCATTCCGCTTCCAAAAAAACCAAAACGTAATCCATTTAAAAGCTCTTCATTGATGAACAATACCTTAATGTAAAAAAGATATTAGCTTCGTTGCAAAGTAGAAAGAAAATTATCATTTCAAAAAGAAAATCATTGATTACATAAAGACAAACGATAGACATATCCAAGAGCAGAGAAATTTGAGTGACCAGAACGGGAATGCTGTAAGTGTCCTCTAAAAATCCTACACATCTAAAACCAAATATTCATAAATGAGTTTGTGACTTACGGAACAACTAATCAAATAATCCTCAACTTGATGCACTCGTTGTATAATTTCACCGCATCGGCGATTTCCGCACTCGTCAAACCATAATCTTCGTCGAAATTTTGCTTAGAGAGCCGATCGACGTTCGAGCTAATCTTCCGTTTTCGCTCGAATCTATAACTAAAAATTCAATTGAATCAGGCTTGAAAACTAATAAAAACGAATATAATGGTACCAAACGACCGCGAATAAACCGCAAATCTGTTTGATCGTCGAGGTATAAATCGACTCGATGCCCGCGTAGAGAAGCCAAAAAATCATGGCGCTGACAATGAAATCGACGCAAATCTCGTAATGATAGTCCTCCTGTTTGAACCACACGAAATCGCCACGATACGGCAACAGTCGACCTCTGGTGCCATTATTCAGGGGGTAGACGGCGTCCAGAAGAGGAGGTGCGAAAGGAACTAAACTGTGCAGCAGCATGCCCGTGAGTACGTACACTATTGTGACGAAGGTTTTGAATGATCATTAAAAATTTTTCGAGTGCTCTGAACTTCGACTTGATTTTACTTACGAGCGTAGAACCTGACTAAAAAGTATGCCTCGTTCTCATATTTTTTCATTAATTTTAGCTCGTGGTGGTCCGTTAAATTTTTCCTCACCTCGTAAATACTCAACATAAGAGCTTTTACCTGTAAAATGATTTCTCGTAAAGCCTTGGCAATGAACCATTCAAATAATCACCTTCGACAAATTCAGAAGAGTCGAAACGTATTTCGATAAACTGATGATATGAAAAAGCACGTACACCGCCGTTTCCAAAATGATTATCGTGTCATCCGAGTGCTTCAAGACATTTACGATCTGCAACGAATCAACGAGATCGATTTCGATTGATTTTTAATTATCTCTCGTGCTTACTTGCGGGTAGACAATTTTTACAACGAGGAGAGTGAAAATCGTGAAGCCCGTGTAACGCTTGAGTTTGCTTTGGGTCGGCCATAGACCCAAACTTTTCAACGAAAACTTGCTGATTTTTTCGTATCGTCGTTCGATATCGTCCATAGCTTTATTTTTTTTTCTAGAGTAACGTAGTTTTTGTTTGTTCGACCTTTTACACTGATGACGCGATGAAAAACACTTCTTAAACGGTGTCATGTAGAAAATTACACGATATAACGGGTAGTTTACTTATAGCGAGCTATTGTGAATAATAAATTTATTATTACATGAATCAAATGAAATTAATCACAGATTAGTCAGTGTTCAAAAGTTGGTCAACTTCGATTCTGTACTTACCAAGTCGTTAAAAAGTTATAGATAAAAGTTCATCGAAGCGAAAATTTCATTTTGTGTTTGCAGATTTGTAACCCAATATAAAAATTATCGAATTAAAAGTCCAAAGAGGCTATTGTTTGGTTAATATTTTATTATTTTTACACCTAATTCACTCATCTTATAGCAAGAAAAACAGCTTAAAATAAAAATAACATAGTTCATTGTAAATTCTATCTATTGACTTCAACTTTTTTTTGACACTACGGTTGCGTGGAGATATAATTGTGAGAAAAGGAGGGTTGCATATAACACAATTTAAAAATATCACATTCGTAAAATCACCGCTTACATTAAGGATACAATTATTCGAAAATAATTTTCGTAATCCCTAAAATAGAATAATAAAAATAAAATTTTTTTTTTCACAGTCTGGTTAAAAGTAAATAAATCTCTCAACTCTAGAATAAGTTTGTTTTTTCCCTAATTTTTAAAAATTAATTAATTTTCTCGATGTTACACCTCCTTTAAACGCAATTAAGGCGAAAAAATTGCTATTTTACGGATCATTTGCTAATGAGAAAGTGAGAAAAAATGTTTTTTTCCATTCACCCTCGAACTCCTCGATGAATTTGCAAAGTAGTGTTTAAAAAAAAATGAATTATAACAGTACATCTCTCTGCAAAAAAGAGAAATTACTCGTTTCGGGAGCTAGCAAATGACTCTTAACAACTATTGTAGTACTACAAATATGAATGAGTGTACATCGTCGCCATTTCTGTCTAGATCAATGATTGTAAAAACCATTTGTATTCGTTATAAAATTTCTGTATCAAATGCTCTATCATTTCAGAAATTGAGTATTTTCTCAAGATATAACATATTTATTGCAGAAGCTTTAGTTGCTACTAAGATGTCACAAAAAGTCTTTACAATCGGAAAAACTGCGCCGAAGCTTGCGAAATTTAATTTTACTATACACATTAGTAACACTGGCATCAGATCTAAAAATGCACAAATTTAATCAGATGTTCATATCACTAGTTTTTAATATTTGTAAACGTAAATGTAAGCCTATTTTATACATATTTTATCAATGAAAAGATAGCTTGCCTACAAGTTCTACGTAAATGACAACGTTTCAATAACATCAAGGCTAATCCATCCCAATTACTTAGCATCACAATGCTAAAGTTTATTCAATAAAACCTACATGTAACAGCTCATTTGAATTTTTATGAACAATCAATTTTTCCCGGTCACCCTTACAATTTGCACGAGCGATCAGAATAAAAAAACGTTTGCAACTGTTTTCATGTCAAGTTAATCTTTTGATTTTTTTTTATATTTATAAATACAGTTGTGTATCATTGAAACATATCTCGTTTTCAAAAGATTAATAATGATGTTCCAGGGAATTTTGTTCGCCTAGGCTCCTTTCCTTCGATTTACAAGATTACCTACATTCGATAAATTTACAGAATAATTTCATATTACATATATTTTATATATAACCTACATACAATTATAGTATTCATATATAACTTACGTACACCTATTTTTTATCATGTACATAATTACAAGATTAAATTCTTCAAAAGAGATACAATGACTCTTTAATTTTAAGTTTTCGGCAAAAGTTAAATATTAATTATAAACACTTGCATTTCGTATTATAATGCAAAAATTATACATGCAGATTATTACCACTAATAGTTAGATGAAAACTGTCCTTGATTGAAATTTTCTAACGCAATAACATTCACTCTAACTGTTTTTTCAATTCCTACTAAGATTGCACATATGACGTGAGACAACGTGAAAAAAATGGGACAGCTAAATTTGTAATTATTAAAGCATTTTTGATTCTCTATTACAATCGATTATACTATTTCGTGGATCAAGAATTTATGTCAAAGTATCATTTCATTGTCTTAACAGACAATATTCCGAAATCTTTTAGTAGATGGCCTTCGTTCAAAAAAAGTTTCATAGACCGTCACGAAAAAATTTGATAATTTTGATTCTAAATAATGTAAAAGTCTAACAGGATCTTTACATTATAAAATTTATGCTTATTCAACTTAACAATAGACTGTTTCTTAAGTTTGTCAAATTTTCTCGCAAGGGCATGAAAAATTTATTAGAACCATATTCCTCTAACAACTTCTTTCCCTATGGGAGGTCATCACGTTTATGATTGGTAATAGAATATTGCAAAAATAATTTTTTAATCTGACATGTAAGAATATATTACATTATAATTTATAATATATAACGGCATATTTTATATTATAATATAATATATTACAATCAATTGTATTTCGTTATATTACAATTTACTATCGGAGTGTGTTCGTCCAGAGGAAAATCGCGCACAACAATCTGAGCGATCGTGATAATTCATAATTTCACTCGCGAATTTCCCCCAAAACAAATAAACTCATTTACTATAGTAACATGAAACAAAAATGAGCAAGGACAGTATTTTACCTATTGTTTATCGCTTTTTTTTTCTTCTTCTTTTTCTAGCTATAAAATTTAAACTGTAACGTAAAATCAACAGCTCGATATGAAGGAACGTTAATTTTGTTTGTTAAACCTTTTTTTCTTTCGTAGAGAATAATGATTATTTTTTCTACCCTTGTTCATTCGATTGCTCTATAACTTTTTTCTTTCTTTATAATATACGCTAAAAAGCGACGACACGCTTTTTCTGCACCATTTTTGAAAGGTTGATTCTTGTAATGTGGACGCATCACAGCTCTCGATTCGTTTACGAAAATATAATTTTTTTTTTTTTTTGACACAAACGCGGTTATAACGAATTATTTACTTTTATCGGCACTTTTTTTGTTACGTTGACCGTGATCGAGTCGATATAACTTTGCAATTTGCTTTCGGAAATTACTCCATCATCAATCTTATCAAAATATATTCGAGGCAATGTGAATGGAGTAAATTATGAATATAAATTGTATAAGTTCTTTGGTTATCGATGTGTTACACATGAATAGCGCGCCTCGAGGGGGGAAAAAAGACACACGCACGCACACAAGAGCGCGCGCGCGCGCGAGAGGAACGACATCGAATGTGTTCGGGGGTACGTGTGTGGGTTATACAGTGTATACGCGCGAGTTTCCATCTCTCGCGTATTATTACATATATAATATAAATAATGTATGTGCGCGATTATTCGAACGTATAAACGGTCATACAATAGAAAAAGATAATTTGTTTTTTGTTTCTCAGAGAGAAGATGCAAACGACCGAGCCAATTGATCGATCACCGGGAAAGAGAGGTAGAAGAGCGTCGACTGCTGCAACTGCTGGTGGTGGTGGTGGTGGTGATGATGATGATGGTGGTGGTTCGACACAGACTGCTGCTGATGATGACTGTTACTCATGCTCTGCTTGGTGCCGCCGCCACCTCCAACGCCAACGCTACCTTGTGGTGACGGGGCTCGCACGCCCAGCAGCTGAGCAGGCACGGCGCATTGTTACATGAATTTGTGGCGTTTGTGCGTGGGCGAGCCCATGTCCACGTCGTGGCTAGCCGGCCGTTTACAGTGCCGCGCGAGCTCGCTGTTGATGAAGGTCGACAGTTCGGTTGATCTTCCGCTGCGCCTCGACATGGGAGAGCCTGCGAACAATTCGAAATAATAAGTTCGTGGTCGAGCAGTTTAGGCGATATATGAAATTGTTGAAGTGTTGACATACCGGATATGGCTTCTCTGAATGTGTGGAGCTCTGATTCTGGATCGACCGATGGCGGCGGCGTGGAGGATATCACCATACTCTGAGCTGCGCCTTGAGACGGTGGAGATCCGCTCATCATGCGCGGTCTTGGCGAACTCCTGTCAAAATCACGATATTTTTGATTTTCGTTCGTTTTACAAATATAATCTTTTAAAAATTAAAATCAAACATACCTGTGTGGAAGCCTCGCCGTGGGCTGCGGCCTACCCGCAATAAATGCCAATAAATCTTCACGACGAATCATTCGTCGCTTTTTCCTCGCCCAGTTCATAATTTCTTTGCTGCGTTTTTGTCTGCCGGCTTCGAGTGCCAATTCGTTCATACGCCGCATCGCATTGGTGGACTCTGTCGAAAGTAATTGGAATATTTTAATAATGCGTCGATTGACAATTTTCTATTTAACTATTTTGTTGTAATTTTTTCTGTTAAAATTTTTTTGTTATAAAAAGAAATTTGATTCGTCAAGTACACGAAACGAATTTCTTTAGAAAATCGTTAAGAGATGCAACGAATTTTGAATTGAATTAAAAGTGAAACGTACCTTTGTACAACGACGTGACCGTCCCAGCCGCAGTTTGAAAGGGAGTCCAATACGAGGTTCCTTGTGTGCGATCTGTAAAACAAGTTTTTGCTGCAATCGCACCGTTCGTTCGTGCAATATAATTCGCTATTAATAAAACAATATCATGCATGTAAAAAAAAAAATTATAAAAAAATCAAGACGTTTTGAAGTTAATGATGATGATGATGACGATGATTATGATGATGAGATTAGCAAACGTATTCTCGAATCTATTAGATGTTCAAGGCCTAGAAACGTCAACGAGATACCGACATTTTGATGATGGATTTCCAAAATTCCTTCCTAATCTATAATGGGTATAATCGATTCCCGTCTGAATCTAATTACGTCTCGTTTAAAGCTCCAACTAAAAGCCTCGTTTCCTCATTAAGATTTTGATTACAATACAATCGTTCAGACACACGTACACGTGCGTGCACACAGACATTCCCTATCTTACATGCATACATATACACATGCGATGCCATCGGAAAGAGAAAATGGATGTCGAGCAAAATGGACTCGAGAGAGAGAGAGAGAGAAGGAACGAGAGGGAGAGAAAATGTGTACACGCACGTGTGTATACATGCGGAGAGTATACAAGCGAACCGACGTATTATGAACTGCACTTAAAACGTGCAATGTTCTCTGGAACACGCAGGCACACACATAAGCCAGCGCCTCACGAGCACAGAGTGAGAGAGAGAGAAACTGCATCGGCAAGTCGGAGAGTAAAAGAGAGAGAGAGAGTGCACACGAGCTCAGCGCCGAGATAAAGAAAGCAAACAACAATGCAACACTTCGAGGACGCGCGGGTAAACGATCGACCTGCAAGAACCCGCCAGGCAACCATCTCCTTCTCTCTCTCTCTCTTTCTCCTGCACTTTATACCTTTTGCGAAAAAAAGCGAGAGTTTGTATGTATTTTCGTCGCGAAAAAACGAAAACAACAAACGAAGAAATTGATCAACGCGCACACTCGAGCGTGAATAATTATTTGTGTTTTGGATTACGATCTTTTGCGATCATCCGCAAAAAAAAAAAAATAAAATAAATAAAAACGCTGCTGGCGGCAGGCACACACAATGCAATTCTCTCTTATCACTTTTTTATAATTTTTATTTATACATGCGCGTGAACACTACGTTGGATTTCCGGAAAATTTGAATGAAAATGAGAGCGAATGCGTTGAACTTTCGAGGAAACGCTCAGGGGATTTCGTCGAGTGCATTGGCATTGAAATTTGATACCAGTATATGGGGATGTATGGTAATTTGACAGATAGTAGAGATGGTCAACAGCGTATCTTGGGATGTAAACAAGATGTAGACGTTTCGATGTGTCCAATTGCAATTTCCATATTAATAAAAAGTAAAAACAATGAAACCGAAGTCAGAAACTTGATGACATTCCTGGATAATGAGTCACGCATTCTTCTAATGATCGTTTAATGCATTTGACAGTAGAGACAAATTTTTTTCTAAGAGTCACTCTTTATTCAAATTTTAAATTAAAAATTGACCGGAAATTTTCATTTTTACAGGCATTTTTCACTTCTGTGTTTTTCAATTATGCATAAATATTAATAAAGACAAAAATTAAGTTTTGAATAATGTAATGGACTCTGGCTGATAAGCATAAGCGAGGACAGCTCGTTGCACGTTAATTAGCAAGACAGATTTAACGCGACTACTTCCTCCTATGTGCCACATCCTAAACTCAATTATTATGACATAAATCACTCGGATGCGAATGCGAATGCGAGTAGAAGTGAAGGCTCGAGATTGGCAATTCCTAACCTCCAAGCATGATACATAATAAAAATATACATCGTGCACAGATGGGACGAGGCCATAAAATTTGCACACAAAAAAAAAAGTAAACCGTACGGGTCTGCGTTGAAAAGTTGACGAAACGACGGGACGAAAAATAAAAAATAAAAAATAAAATAATGAATATTATTCGCGGTTCGAAATTCAACGACAACAACAATTCGCAGACTTCGTGCAAACGTCACGTAAGGTTGAATGAAGCGTCGCGGCAATCAATCAGCTTAATCATCGGGACGTGCCAGCAGAACAATTTTTTTCTTTTTTTTTTTTTTTTGTTTTTGACACCGTGTCTAAAGCGGAGGAGAAAATACAAACGCGCGCATACAAACTCGCAGTCATCCAGACACATCCACGCATTTACATAAGATAGTTTCTAGAAGAAAAGGAAAAAAGAAAAGTAAGATAAAGATGAAAAAGTAACGACAGCAGCACGACGAAGTGGCAGACGCCAGCCGCGATGCGTGCTGTGCCGAGTGTATACATATGCGCACTAGGTGTATAGTGTATATAGAAGACGACGATGAGCTTTCTAACCTTTATACAGCTGTGATATGGCAGTGGCCGAGGTCTGAAAGGTCGTCCAGAGCTGGCCCGTGTAGAACTCGCGCTCGTTGTGCAGCTGGGTCTCGTAATCGGGCTCGCTCTCGATGCTCTGCACGCTCTGCTCTTCCCACTGCGAGTACCACATGTCGACGATCGCCTCCTCGTCGCTGCGTTCCTCGTTGTTCATGGCTTGTTTTCGGGCACGACGACGAGAAGCACGACGAGCTCGACTGCTGCTGCGATGCGTGTGTATTATAAACTACACACGAGATATTACGCTCGCGTGTGTGCGTGTATGCTTGCCGTCGTCGTCGACGTCGTCGTCGTATATTGACGGAACTATATATATAGCTATATATATATATATATATAGCGTATCGTAGAGGCTCTGGCTCTCCTGGCCCGTGGCCTGCACGCTCGTGCGAGCGAGACTGACTCGACACTCTTCCGTGCGCTTAGTCGAAATCAAATTAAATGAGCAGACCCAATGTTTTTGGGAATCATCTTTCCCCGCCCACTGTATACGATACCGGAATCTCGAATCGAACGCAAGATAGAGAGACGCGCGTCGTTGTCGTACACACGCACACGCGTCCGATTGATCGAGAGAGAGAAGAACTCGTGGGGGCCTGGCCTGCGACTGCACGAGAGGAGCGAGCGAGGTTAAGACGACTCGACTCGAGTTTGTGGCTCTCTCTCTCTGCTCCGCCTGCACAGGCACGGATGCAGCGAGCAGCAGTCAGCAGTCAGCAGCACACTCTGTCGCTCGCGTGCACGCGCTAGACGAGCACTGAACGCGGCAGCAGCAGCGGAGCAGACAGACAGACGGACGGACACACGGCTGTGCTGCTGCTGCTAGCTACTACTACTACGGGTGTGTTGTGTTTATTATAATGTCCGTGGCGCGTTGGGTGACGGTTCCTTTCGGTCATGCGAACCACAACACACGCGCGCACACATGCACTGCACTGCGATCACCGATGGATGAATCGTGTTGCAGCAGCGCTCGAGTTTCGCGCGACGCAATTGGCCTTTTTTTTTCTTCTTTTTCGATTGCGAAACTCGCACACACAAAAAAATATTCCACGATTAGCAGTACACAGAGAGAGAGAGGTTATAGTATCATAGGTGCGCGTGCACGAGCACCACTATAGCTGCTGCTGCGCGACGAGCACTGTGTTGATTCCGCAGCGTTGACAGCTGCGATGTTTTCTTGCTCCGCGCTGATGTTGTATGTTTACACACTGACACACGTGCATACGCACGCACACGCACTCACGCGCGGCGTCCAGCAGGAGGAGTAGGAGGAGAGGATCTCCCGCGGATCGATGAGCGAGCGAGAGATATTTTTCCGATATAAAATCGTATATATCAGCACTGCATACACGAGCGCGCGCGCACACACAATAACAAAGAGCAGCAGCAGAAGTAGCGGAGCAGGAAGGAAAAAAACACAAGCGCGGACGAGCACGCGACAACGAGCCTATCGGTTATAGACCATATAGTCGCGCTTCTCCCAATGGTTCAAAAGAAGATCTGCACGGTTAAAGAATCAGGAATTCAAAGTCACCGTCGCAGTTGCAGCAGCAGCAGCGACGACGATGATGCTGATGCTGATCGCTGTATTTTATAAGTAGCTGTAGCTGTTGCTGCGGCCATTTTACACACACGAGCACAACAACACGTTCTCCTCTTCTTCGTCTGCCGAGCTTCGCCGCGGCAGCAGCACAACGACGATACGCGTGTGCATTATAATCAATGCTGTATATGTATGTATGTAAGTATATTATATCACGAGGTACGGCGCAATATATACACGGAAGAGAGAACTAAGCCTTGCGTCCTGCTGCACAAAATGTTAATTCCTGCACGGGCATACACACACGGCACAGCTGCGCCCTTCGTATACACAACACGACGACGACGACGATTCACGATGTGTATATAGTCCCTCTTATTGTATACACACTCGTATGTACGCACCAACACCGACACACAGGATACAAATGTACACAGACACAGACAAAAGGGCAGCCTTGGGGACCGATGCGATGGTTCGTGGACCAAGGCACCTCTCGTCTCGTCTTGCGCTGCCCCGACACGGGCTCTACTACCTATATAGATGCTGTTGCTGCTGTAATGTACACAACAACACTGAGAGCGGAGAGCGGAGCGCACGTCGTAGAAGCACTTGTCTATATATATATCGACGCTATATTGGTACGTCTGTATATTGTTATTATGTTATATACGGTCCGCGCGATATGCGCACGCGGGGAAGACTTTAAGGCTTGTGGTGCGCGCGATCGACGATGCTATATACGGGGTAAAGTACACGATTTAATATATCAACACCACAACGCAGAGTCTGACACACACGTATACACACTTGGGGGCGTGCGTGTGTGAACGAGGAGGAGGAGGAGGAGGAGGAGGAGAAGGTAGAGCAGCAGCAGCAGCAGCTTTAAGCACACGCGAACGCGAGAAAGGATGTGTGTGCTCCGAACTGCGAAACTATATAGAGCTGCTTTACATTTAAATACTACCTATGTACGAACGCCCAGTAGTAGTGTGTAGGCAGCTGCTGCACCGATGATGTGCAATACAGAGAGAGAGAGAGAGGGTTAACTCGAGAGAGCTTCGTGAATTATCTATCTCCTTTGCGCTTTTCCTACGAATGCGTCCGCGATAAAATCCATTTTTGTCATTTAACGCGCGCGTAATCGATTCCGTTCCCGTCGATGATGATTATTTTATTTTTATTTATTTATTTATTTATTTGTCATTATTATTATTATTGCATGCCGACGTGCCTCGCTCGCTCGGCTGCAAAACAATGCCCGCGCACCATGTATATTCGACCACCCACGCTTCCTACTGTACGATATTATGCGCGATCACGCGATACATATATGTATCTATAACGTTTATTTACTTATACGTATGTATAAGGTATCGTTTACAAACACAGAGAGAGAGGGAGAGAGATGCGATTTTCGGCGCACGCAGCTGATTCTTCTTCCTCTTTTTCTATTGTGCCTATACACACGCGTTTACGTTTTATTAAATTGTTTTATTTAATAAATAATAATCGTGCACACTCTCTATGTAAGCTTCTTTACACCCATGCACCCCTCTTCTTACGATCTGATTTATGGTATACTATATATAATTTGTATGCGGTTCACGAGAGACGATGATTGACGCGCAGTTTTATAATAAACATGTATACTTGATATACGTATTATAAATGCGAGCGAGAGTGCGCGGATCGGAGCTCTGCTCGTATAAACACGCAGCACAGCCTGCAGCAACACGCGCGACAGTAACATCATATACACCTACTATACTACATATTGGCATTCTATATAAGCAGCATCATATGTAAAGTACGATACAGCAGCATATGACAATGTAAACGAAGCGACTGGTGGAGACCTCTGCGCAGCAGAAAGACGAAGACGGCACTCAAACACAGAGTATGCTTCGCAGTTCGTCCGCTGGCTTGGTCATTTAAACGCCGAGTTCGGCGCTGTCTGCTACTCAATAGCAATGATGTTACACGCGCTCTCGCTCGCATGTCATAGAACGTAAACAAAGAGACCTGCTGCTGCCAGTGCTGCTGGTGCTGCCTCGACGGTGCAGCGCGTGCGGAATGCATGTGTTTTGGGATGTATATGGGCTTTTCCATCACGACAGGCGTGTTACGAGTCGAAAGATGAAATTCAAAGGAAGTGTGTGATCTTAAAAAGTATAAAATATATTGAAAAATGGAAAGCTCCAAAACTTGAGATTTCGGGGTACATATATTTATCATAGATCTGGAAAGGCTCAAAATTGAATTTTAATTTTATGAATTTTAATTTTTTTCGAAAAAATGACTATGAAAAAATATGAGAACAAGGCTATTTTGATGTAAAATTTGATAAAGAACTCGAATTTAACATAAAAGTTCAAAAGTCAACCGGTTCGTTCCCTTTACATACACCGCAGTGTAAAACTTAATTTTCTTCAAGATTAAAATACAACTTATCATCAAATAGTTTCATCGATTGAACCAATAGAGATATTGTTTTAGCATGAAAATGATTAAAAATTCAAATTATTATGAAAAAGAGTAAAAACCCCCAATTTAATCATCTCTTGAATGCCGTCAAATGTCACCTTTTGACCCGTTGAAGAAGAAAACTGATTAAAAACTGTATTCTAATTATTGAAACACGTAAAAGTTACAATACAGTATTTTTTCTCATATAAATTTTACACAAAATTGTCCTTTTTCAAATATTTTATCACTGTCACCCCTCTCGATAACCAGAAAACATTTAGAAAATTAAAATTGCACTCCGAGCCTCTGTAAATCCATTCCACGCGAATCTAGGAGCACTCAAATTTCTACAATATTCATTTCCCAATGAACTCTTTAAAAATACATGTCGTTCTTAGGCTTGATACAGGGCAACCCATATATTTTATGTACAATATATATATTCTGCCATGCCGTCGTCGCGCAGCGTTGCAGCGCACCATATGCAGCACCATCTCGCGCGAGGACTTTTTATCTTCTCTCTTGCCTCTCTTTTTCTCTCTCTCTCTCTCTCTCTCATACACACCACGCGGCGATATATATATATGAGAGCAGATAGAATATGTGCGAGATCGTCGACGACGTTGCTTTTTAACGATGTGCTGCTGCCTCTCGTCGTCGTCGTCGTCGTCGTCGTCGTCGTGCACTTATGCTGCCGCGCGAGCACTTACACTCGCACACATGGGACACAGCCTATACCTAAAGAGAGAAGAGAGTGCAGGTATTTTTATGCAAAACTCGTTCGCGCGCGCGCGTGTCGTCGTCTTCGTAGTCGTCGTCGTCTACGTCCCAGGGGCTGCTGCCGTCGGGCTATACATGTCTCGTTGTTGTAGAATAAATAATGATGATAATAATGATGCTCGAGCTCCTATACCGCTTCACGCCGCATCGCTGGAATGTCGGCAGCGTAGGTGCGCACACACGCTCTCTGTCTCTCTCGCAACATCTACCTTCTTTTTTCATCGAATCGAGAGGAAGCCAGAACAACAACAACAACAAAAACGGGAGAAAATTACACACGCTTACGTAGGTGGATTGGATACAACGAAACAACCTTTTGACAACGGCAGCCGCAGTAACGCGAATCGAAAATAGAAATAACGATCGCGATGCATTATAAAGGCACGTGCGCAAAAGAAAGAGGAATGTCTATTATAAATCTCGTCTCGAGAGAATTTTCCAATCGCTTTATTTTTTTAGTAATATAAAAATTCCTTTTTATTGTCCTGACGAGAGAGATACAATCTCTTCGATACGCACGATATGCAGCTTACAGCTCATATAAACGTGGTACACTTATACAATCGAAGACAGTATCAAATATATATTATTTATAAACATATTTATAATACTTGAGCAAAATTCGTCATTATAAAATATACAATATATTCTTCGATGCTCGATGCGTATTATTTCGTTGAGTCTTAATGATATTATACGCTTATTTCTATCTGTGATGCTTTTTTGTATATAAAATAGGTATCTGCTTTTCTTCTACATTTTCTTTCTCTCTACGTAAAAGCTCGTATATCACACATTTTGCTTTGACGGTATTACAACGGATGTAACTACCACATTCGTTTATACGCACAATAATTATTACGCCTACGCAAACTCGCTCTAATGATAAAATCGTAACGGTTAATATATAAAACATAATCGATTGTTCTCGTGCTTGATATTTGCATAATAAATATATACTCTACACGATTAAGTACACTTCAACGCTTTCGAAAGCTCGACCCAGATTGTCAAATTTATAAAAAAAAAATAACATAAAAATTTTCAGATTGGCCGATATACATGATTATATTCCATAAAATCAACATTTATCTCACGCCTTCGATCGACAATATAAAGATGCAAAATAATGAAAGCAGAAGATGAGGTAATTATTCATACACGAGCTCGTCTTCGCCGCTCGCTCGTTATTATACAATAATAATGTACACGAATAATATTATAATGCAGGTGATCGGCCTCGCGGATACCGTTGTACAGTAAAAAAATAAACTTTAATCATTAATGCGATACATTTTGGTTGTCGCCTCGCAAAATATTATATAATCGACGTCCAGCGATACACACACGTACGATATCGGTACAAAAGAAGCTATATTTATCATTCGCACTGTCTTTTATCATATTTGTATTATATTATCATATTAAAATCTCAAAGAAGTAAAAAGTAATAAAAAATAAATTATATAGCTAAAACTTAACAAGTCAGACGGCGATGATCTTTATATTAACACGACGATATAATAAAAGTCATAGCGAAGCCAAGTATCGACGCTTGGCAGGTGGAAAAAAAAAACAAAGGCTACGACGTGCCGTTCGTTCTCGTTTTTTCCGGCAAACACTTCATGATGGTCGGCTCGATGGATTTCCACACCTCCGACAGCTGCAACAGTGCAAAAAAGTAATTATTGAAATTTGCCTTTACGTTGAAATTCTTTTGTAAATGTGTAGGTACCTCGGCGTGGCCGCGTATCTGCACGCTGACGAGGCTCTGCAGTACAGTGGCCAGAATCTCCAGATGGGCGTGTATGAGCTGCGTCTCCATGTGCAGGCAGTGCAGCGAGAAGAGATTCCTCAGCTCGACGCTGGCTATCACCGACTCCTGGGCGACCATCCGGTTCTCCAGCTGCTCTATCGTGTCGGCCTGTGCCGGCGGAATGAATTTTTTTTTTTCGTTATCGTAAATTTTTTACTCGACTCGGAGAGATTTTTTTTTGATTCTTACGTCGGTGCCGCGAATGACGCCCTGCATCTGTCGCTTCTTCAGCGTGAGCATGGTGGAGAGAGCGCGTCGATGATCCTCGCTGACGCCCTTCTCGTGCCTCTCGCAGAGGAGCCTGTGGGCCACGAGCAGGTCCAGCAGCAGATTGAGCCGCTCGCAGATGGTCGTCTCCTCGCGCACCGCCTGCTGCTCGGCCTTGCTCGACAGCAAACCGAACTCCTTGGAGATGATGTTGAAGCCCTTCTTCATCTCCTGCCAGATGGTGGAGCCGCCGGTGGCCCAGGATGTCGTGGTGTGCGCCTCGTTGGCCAGATTGGTCAGCTGGGTGGCGAGCTCGGCCATGTCCGAGGCGTAGTTGTGCGACCTCGTGGCCAGGCAGTCGGCGATGTGCTTGAGGCGGGAGATGCCCGTGTAGATGACGCGTATCTGGTCGCGCGCGTTGCCGAACTCGGTGAGAGTGTCGGGCGGCACGAGCTCCTTGGCGCGACTGGACAGATCCGAGGTGGCGAACTCGTCGGGCATACGGCGAAACGTGTCGCGTATCTTGTGCTGAGTCTCCTCGCCCGTGTACGTGAAGAAGAACTGGCAGATGGGGTCCTGGCCGACGACGGGATGCCGAGCGATCAGCGTGACGAAGCGCAGCAGCGAGCGTCGACGCTCCTCCAGAAATTGCGAGTCGGCGCCGACGATCTTCTTGGGCGGTGGTTTCGGGATGAGCCTGTAGGGGAATCGCGCCACCAGCAGCTCGTGCAGCGCCAGGAAATCGTTGAAACGCCTGTAGACGATCGAGTTATATCTCTGCGGTAACAGAAACGTTTTTGGTAGAGTATCGGTTCGAGATCGATTGAGTTTTCATATATTCTTATTTTTTATTTGTTTGTTTGTTTGTTTGTTTGTTTTTTTACAAACTTCTGCAGGTGCACATTAGATATTAGTTAAATAATAATAAACGTATGAAATTTAATAAAAGCGCGGCAAAAAAGTCCAACTTCATTGAAAAAATAATATACGTGAATTTTCTTAAAGTTTCAAACAGTTATTTTTGACTCATTAAGTTCCAAGAGGACTTGGTTCTGTCACTGTATTTTTCGTGATAAAAAGGTAAAAAAATATACAAGTAGCCAGATGAAATGTAAAATTTAATGTCCTTTCAGAATCTCATCTGAGATTTTCGAAAAAATGATTAGGTCAAAAGTTATAGTTGACTTTTTCCCAAAAAACGTGTTTTTGAAAAATTGTATGATTTTTTTTTATTTTTCGATTTTCTAGAAAAAAATTTTATAGAACAGAAAGTGTTTAAAATTGACCAAAAAATTCACACGTGTTTTTACTTATAGTTGGAAAAATGAAGAAAATAAGTATGATGTTGATCTACGAATGAACATTTTCTACCCGATAAAACCAAACAGTTCATTCGTGACTCTTCTTACGTAGAGTTATTTGGAATGTTTCCCCCTCCGTCATAAAGAATCATATCACTGATAGTACTCGTAAAAACGGTTATGATTTGATGCTGATTGATCTCAATATTTTTGTATGGATAATTATTATATCGATCTTTAATCGAAAGAAATGCCGGGCGGAATTTTGGTCTGAAACCTCGTTGTTAGGATGTCCTGTCATAGCTAATGAGCTACAACAAATTTCTCAAAACAAAACCCAAAATAAAATATTCGAAGTTCTGAAGATAAAAATTCGAAAAAAAAGGTTGGAGAGTAAGAAAAATTCTTGAAATGTTTTGAGCCCATTTTTTGCAATTCGAATTTTTTATACAGCTTTGTCGGTAGACAAGATGATGGTGAAATTTCATGGAAGAACTATTTTCCTTCAGTTTTGGTATAAAAATGTAGGGTCTTTGTAAACCTGAAAGGTATCTTTTTGATTGCGACATTTATTACGGCAAAGGTTCAAATATCTATTCAACCGTGAACAAAATAAAACTATCGGGGAAATAATAAATTATAAAGAATCGAATTCTAGTCTAGATTAAATTGAATTTGTATTCATTATCAACTTTATAACAAGCAAAATAATGTTGTGAGCATATTCGTCATGATTTGGTCTGAACCGGATTAGTAACACCTATTATTTCGCCTCATGATTCATAATGCATTTCCCCGTCGGGGTTTGAACCCACGATCGTGGCCACAACATTTACCTCGAACCACTGAACCATCTTAGCTATCGAGGCTATTACTATAGCAGTCTTTATGCTAGTTTATGAAGATGAACGATGGGGACGGGGCTAAGACTAGATCATGCGTACACTATATGCCCATGCACTACCATTTTGGATCTATCATAAAGATCCAGAAGAAGAAGATTGAACACATGTGAGAGAATTACATATTTACGTCGCTTCCAACGCCGCCAAAACTGCAATATACTGAAACTGGCCCGAATAGGTCTATCATACAGCCGTGTCAATGCACCGCTTCTTTCAAGAACGCTTTCGCAATCCGCTCCATGAAACATCAGTTGCTCGGATGGCGAAAATATTTTTCACGGACTTGTCTATGCCAAGTGACGGGCAATATAATTTTGTCTGATGAGTGGGTACATCGCCAACGATTAGAACGTCGTAGACAGAAACATCGATTCCGTAGACGTATTCGATAGACATAACTTTATGAATAACAAACGATTCGGGCGTAACTCGCCCATCGCGTTGGCAAGTGAGGTGGTGAGTGCGATCCTCTATACTACTAAAATGGCTGGATCACTGATCCTCAGAATGGTGGGTCCAACGGTCCACTAGTTGGAGCTGCAGCAGCGAGCAGCAGACATGGTCTTGGCGTTTACAACAAAGTTTATGCCCTGGAGTAGCTTATACCTGGATAAAGAATTTTGGGCGAGGGTGTACGCGTCCATTGCTGAATTGGCACAAGCAAACCCGACGCATGGTCACTTGAGTGACGTTATCGTGTGGCAAATTTAAAATCAAATTTTTATATGAAGCAATTGAAAAATTGTTTGACTGTAAAAGAAATACCGAATAATTTTAAATTTACATTTGAATTATACGAATAATACCATCAGATTGTTTGCTATCTGGGTGAAAGGGACGATACCAACGTCTATTTTTATGATGGATATGCATATTATCAAGACGGTTACAGAAATCCAAGAATTTACCGTTGCTAAAAAAGTGGGCCATTAATTAGATGCCGAGAAAAGAGTAAGTGTGTCAATAGTGATTTTAACGTCGATGTCACAAAATCTGTTCCACGTCATGGTCACGAAGATCTCAATTTCATGGCCAAACTATCGTTTATAGGAGAATTGTTTGTTAAACCCTATTGTTGTTTTTTTTATTATATACAATACCACTCAGACAGCTACCCATCCATCCCTTCGGGTATGAAACCCGAAGGTGAACGATCATCGTCAGCAGGCCGAGTCTCCGCAATGGGAGACTCGAGGCCGCCAGCCTCACG